ATGGACAAAGAAAAGGCCTTCTGGAGGAAAGTTCTGTGGTCAGATGGAACAAAAACTGAGCTATTTGGCCACAACAACCAGAAATATGTTTGGAGGACAGAAGGTGAGACCTTTAACCCCAAGAACACCAAACCTGCATGGTGGTGGCCTAACCCTAAGAGACAATTTTACTATCCAGAATATTTCTTCAGTCATTTTCAAATCAGCTGATCTGCAGCTTGAAAGGTGTCGACTGTCTGGCAAAGATTTCTCTAGACAGGAACTTTCCTATTGAATTAATTGAACTACCTAATGTCACGATACTGAAGTAAGCTTTTTCGTCAAATGAGCCAAGTAGTTTCCCAAAACGATATTTATTCCTGCTGATTTGATGCACACATCAATGAGTGGGTCTCTTCTCAGCCTATGGGCCGAGAGCTTTTCAGTTAATCTTCACAATTAGTTTTGGATTTACTGTTCCGCTGTGAGCTTTGAAGGGCACCTATAATCTGCATCCCAGCAGTAGCAGTACAAGCCCGTTCCAAAGAGGTACACAGCAGGACACAGAGGACACCAGCATTTCTGCCTGTTCGTCTTTGGCGGGAATGTGACATTTTCAAATAGAAATTCAAACAGTTTTCAAATTACCATTTGTTCATATTGTCTGGTTGCCCTAAATACGCCATGTTAGAGACTCATTTTGTTTATACCCAGTCAAAATTTTAAATTTCTGCATGGATGCCATTACTGTTAATTCCAGGAACGTGCCCAGTCAATTAAAATATATTTGAATGACGCATACAATCCACATCGCAGGAACCAAATTCATGTGTGTAAATTTGTGAGATTAGTTCTCATATTGGCACATTTTCTCCACTAGAGGGAGGAGGGTTTCCTCATAGTCTGCCCTACACGTGGCTGACACAGTGAATTTACTGCAGACTGGCTTTGACTCAGCTGTGCGGTTGTGTCACACACCGTGTGTTTAGCGTCAGGAGTCATTTCTGTGTCAATATACCAGTAGCTTTCAAAGCAGAGCAAATTTCTAGGCGCCAAATTAATGGTTAGAAACGAGTGCAGCAACAAGTAGTGTGGGGGAATTCAGCCTCTTTTACTGTGTATTTAAATCAGCTGGGATAATTTTAATCATATTTAGTTTACATGCCTTGTATAGCTGCTTTATATACAGCTTTGTTGATGTGTTGCGTCCATGCAGACACAATCACAGTTTGGCATTTTAAAATTACCAGTGCGTCCTGACAGTTTGTTACCGTTAACAATAGTTACACCCCGTTAAGTCTCACTCTCTTTTTTATTACTCTCTCCCCTCTGTTTTTAGGGTGACTCTTTGGGGAATGTGCCATTGAACTGAACTACTGTGCCAAGTGGACTATTACGCACGCCACTATGGAATATTATGCACGGTGCTGAAAGCTATCTTCTTGACTCCATTACTTATGTGACAGCTTCGCCATATCTCCACCTGAGCTGTATTATCGGAGGTCTTTTTCACGCAGAGTGCAGCAAAAATTTGAGTTGCTGAGTGCTAATAAAGGAGCAGACAGAATGCGTAATTTCCTTTCGCTCTCAGCGTATATTTTCTGCAAACCATTAAAATGCGGTACAGCGCAGTGCTGCACAGACGCTGCAGGTTACACATAGTGATCCAGTAGCGTGTATCCTGGTGTTGTCCAACCCCGCTGCCCGTTTTGGGGAAGGGCCGTTCAGCCCCTTCAGTCTCCCCATTGGCTCCGCTGCAGTAACCTCACCCATTTCTTCTTGGATTTACGACGACAGATTTCCTCCAACTCACGAAACGGCAGCCACAAGTTGTCAAAACTACCTGGTCAAGACTTTTTGTCCCTCAGTAAACTGCATCTGTTACCCCGATTATTGTCTAAAACCAAAAAAGGAACGGTTTAAAAGTAGCCTTGTCAGAAGTCGAGCAGAGAAACCAACACCAGGACAGCTGGAAACTCTACTCCTGTGTGGGACCGTGCTGTCAGCATGGTATGTCCACAACACACCGTTGTTTGGCTTTTATTACCGTGACTTTAATGTTTCAATTCTGTCAGGTCTTGCTCATTTCTTTCCTCTTTTTCATGGTAGAAAACTGCTTATGTAAGATATAGGTAACTAACTCCTTTGTCAGTTACTCAACCAGTCATGGGGCTATAAGGCTGCCTCACTTTGGATAATCTCCCCAATACATCTGATTTTCCATGCATTTTGTGCATAGTGTTGCTCAATATGTGAAGCCATTTCAACTGTCAAAATGTACAGCCAGGTGAAATAAAAGTGGATAAGATGTAAACTGTACTGCAGCAGGAAACCAAATTGCAGCCATATATGTCATTTGATTACATTCCCATGTTCATGTCTCCAAGCCGTTTAGTCTCCTAAAGTTGGAGCACTGGTGATAAAATAACACAATTTGTTTTTACACATGGTGAAGGTGAGAATGTAAACATCCCTAAATTTAAAGCTGGAAGACAGCGCACATGATGGAGTATTGGGAGTTTCAGCCTAATGTTATCTGAACCTGCCAGATCTTTATTTTAAACTGTGCTGTACATGCTGCGTGTGGAGGTCTGTCTCTATGGTATACTGTTGGCAGCAGTGAAGGGGGAAACATTTGCTCATGATTGACAGTTACTCGGGTTATGCAATCCTATAGAGAGTGTCTGTGTATGCTAGAGTGTAGTATCTGTAATTGTTTGTGTATAACCTATGCAGGGTGTTGGCGTTTTTCCTTTCAGTAAATGTATGCTTTAGATTGTTTCCTGAGAAAGAGACCAAGTAAGTTTGATTAAGTTGTGTTATCTTAGTGGTGGTGGATTATGTAATTAAATACTGTCGCTCCCATTCTGCAGCTTCTTGGTGTTTGATAGCAGAATGACTCCTTTCTGCTTCTTTTCGTCCCTTTTCTGTGACACACAAATGCGTTCTTCTGCATTTTGTTATTGCACACATGTTGATAAGCACTCATTGGTGTGATGCTTTGCAAAGGACGGACTTGAAGACAGCAACAAGTCTTTTTATCTGCTCGTTTTAACTACTGACAGCTAGGTTTTGGCTCACATGTCGGTTTCGCTACTTGATCTTAGTCCTGTTGCGGCTGGCTTGAAAGAAAGTTGGATTTGTTTGGCCAGGAGCCGATAACCTGATGAGTGGGTAATTTACTTGAGACAGAATGTTAGCAGGTCCAAAGAAGGCTGAGGGGCTTTTACAGAGAGAGAGAGAGAGAAAAAAAGACTCCCACTCCTTTTCAAACATGACGTTGACATGCAAAATTGCATATATGAAAGGGGCTTTATTCTGGCTGTTTGTGGAGGGTTGGGGTGGCTGCAAGCTGAGACACACATGTTGGCTTATATAATGCACCGAGACATTCAGCAGCATAATGTGTAAATAAATAACATACTTTAGATTGAATTATGTACATTTTAGGAACATTATAGATCCAGTGTTGTGACATACGCTTTAGAACATCACAATCATGACATACCGCATAGACTCAAAGCTAAACATGCGCTGAAATATGCATATATATGTGTGTGTATATATAGATATATACTGTATGCATTATGCAATGTACTAAATCCTTGTATTTGCTGTGTAAATACAAGGATTTAATGGGGCATGATTACAGGGAAGAGTCTAAAGTCATGGAATACTTTAAGTTGAACTAATACAGTACAGTAAAGATAGACTGCATTGTGTTTTCTGCATTTTTACTTTAGATGTGCTCCAGTCCGACTGTATTTTTATATAATCTGAATTTCTGAAAACGTGTCACTTTCTTGTTCAAGTTGTTTTTCACTCCAGTTCACTGTGGTTTGGCAGGCTGCACCACCGCCACATGCTTTAGTGCGTTTAATATCAGTGTTCGCTAAGGACAGAAGTGCGGTTGCCTGTTTTCCAACTGCACCCAGAGATAGACCCTGACTGACCAATAGTTTCAAATTTACAACCGCTCTGTGTGTGCGCTTTGTGCCTGTGTGTGTGTGTGTGTGTGTGTGTGTGTGTGTGTGTGTGTGTGTGTGTGTGTGTGTGCTGGGGGAGGGGGTCCTGTGTGCCAAGAAGATAATTTAAGGTTGGCCAAGTATAGAAAAAGAGAAGGAAAAATAAAAATACAGTAGCGCTTTTGTAAAAGACAGCAACAAGGACCCGAACTGAACAGAAGAGGATGCACTCGGATATTTAAGAGCTGAACTATACGTTGTCTTTTACGTGCAGGCTCATGTCAGCGCTTCTGTACTAGACATCTTGAAGGGCAGCAGTAAACTTATTCACAGTTCTAATATCCAGACTGTATCAGTTTACAATGCAGTAATGCTGAGTCAGGCTGAGATTGCTGTGGTAATTACTTAAACTGAACCTGGAGATAACTAGACTACAACAAGTGATTATTTTCACATTTTATCCATCAGTTAAAGTATAAAGAGTTTACTCTGCAGTGCCCAAAATTGCATCTTTAAAGACCCCTCCTATATATTATTGTTTTTTTACCTCGTTGACATGTTTATTTGATATTTTTTTCCACCTTCAAACTGCAGCACATCAATGACAGTCTCAAAACCACGGATCCAGACTTCTGGCGCTCTGGCAGAAATAGATCCCTTCTGCTTCTGGCTGAATTACGTCAATATTGCAACTTACTATTGTGGATCACAGACGAGTTTTACGATATTTGAGCAGAGTCGTAGGTGAGCTGGTGTGCTCGAGAGGAGTGGCTGGAGAAGGAGGCGGGGAATTCACAGATCTGAACATTGTCAATAAAGTAATGTAGTGCTACATGTCAGCCTTTTAAATGGATTTTAAGGGATTACTTTCATGGGTAAAACTTGTATTTTTGATGCATCAAAGTGAGTTTTAAGACGGTCAATAAACAATTTGACTCATTTGCCTAATAAATAACATACATATCTACTTAACACCAGTAATTTTTATCCAGGAGCTGACTATTTAATGAATCAGTTATTTAGTTCAGATAACATCAGATGTGGTACGTAACACCGATACTGCAATGAAAGTCTGTTTCATCCATGATCAAAACAAACTGAAGGCAAGTTTTCCTTCTGTAGAACTGAAACCCATGCAGTTTGTAAATCAAGCACTTGAATCTGTAAAGTTTAATCTGAGCCTCCAGCTATTGTCTTCAGGGCAGAGATGTTGAAATCCGTCCTGGCTGCCTTTCTCCTTCCGTGTTGCCAGCTGTACCCACCACATGGTCTGTGCACCTCAGCACCACCCACACTATGAACCAATGTAAACCCAACACCTCCCAGAGGATTCTCCCTCCCACTCTCACCCACACATCACTACACTGCTGGTCCCACTTCCCCTCCTCTCTATTTGTGTATGCATATTTTTGTCGCAGTCTCGCACTCCTCCACGTATGTGTGCATACATGCTTCTGAAATCACCTGCCTCATCAGGCTATGTGTCCTGAACAACTAGAACTTTTTCTGGGTCACACACCTCTTGTAATTTTCCACTCTCACCAGCTGATACCAGCAAGGGCACATACAAATTATCCCGCTAGGTCATGTACCGGAGCCAGTTTGGCTCGTGTTAAGCCTTTTTGGCTCCGAGCTGAGTTCGGCTGTCCGTGTACAAGTGGTTCAACTGGTGGTCAGATGTGCTGCTGCATGGGATTGTCTTTGTTTTATGTAAAAGATGTAATCTGGAGGATTTTCTTATCATAAACCACAGCAGATGACATATAGAAATGATGCACCTGTGGCTAATTTTGGCATCAGCAAGCCACAAAGGGATGCAATTCCGATTAATAATCACAGTTTAGCAGCATCTGTAGGAATTTTAATAACAGTTCTGACACAGTATTGGAAGAGTGACAAGGAAAACAGTGAGACAAAAGGTAAAGTTATAGTAATAGAAGGTAATATAAGGCATTGTACCCTGTAAAAAAAAAAGCAGACTCTTCTGTTAATAAAGCAAACTACAGTCAAGTGACAAATTAAAGGAAAAACCTGAAGGATGCAGTGAAGTGGCTCTGTTATAGTTGGCTGGCATTTATTACTTTATCCTGATGGTAGTGGTCTCCTCCAGGATGACAATGCCTCCATCTATAGGGCACAAGGGGTCACTGAGTGGTCTGACAAGTATAAAAATGATATAAATGATGTGTTATGACCTTTGTAATTGATTTAACATCTCAAACCAGACGCACACCGAAGACAGATTTTAGACTTTCGTGTTGGACAGCGCTCTCCACCATAATCATCAAAACACCAAATGAGAGACTGTCTTTTGGAGAAGTGGTGCTCCATCCATCCATCAGAGCAACAAAAGGCTTTGAAAATCAGTACAAAAGAAGCACTGAAGCTGCTTACTAAGACACTAAGACGCTTCTTATAAGAAACAAGATTAACGCACATACAGGATGTGAGCTTAATTGATTCACCTCGGATGCCGTTGCTCTTTCATGTGATAACTATTGTATGTTTGTGTGTATTTATGACGTCAAAAAATATTATAAAAACAATAATGATATTGCATAATGACATACAATGTATTGTTTTGCCAAAAAAAAAAACATTTATTGACTTAGTTAATTTCAGGACTGTGCAAGGCATGTTCAAAGCAAACAATAAGTTACGTGTTGCTGTTCAGAAGCAATATTGGAAACCATAAATTAAGAGGAAATTCAAATTTAAAAAACAAACTTTTGCTCGTAGCACCATGAAGAGTAAATGTCTATCAATTTGTGGAAACTTTATGTGACAGACTGGATGAGGATTTTAAAATGATATGAGGTGTGTAGACATGGACCAGCTAGAAGTTAATTTCAGTCATCCTGCTTGTTTTTTTTTCAATTCATGTGTTTTAGTTCCCTTTTTTGCCTTTATGCTACTGCGGCACATCTGAAATCGATCTTTTTTTTTTTTTTTTAAATCTTGGCTCGGTGCTTATCTGCTGTAATATGAAAACAGTTATCTTGAAGGCACTCACACACATTCAGTGTTTTCCTAAACTAACCCGAACTTTTCTAATCTAATCTTGTGTCCACACACGATTTCTATATGCACATGTATTGTCAATATTTTGCCCTCACACACATCTACTTTCTGTGTGCAAAACAGGTGCCTCTCACAAACGTTCTTCATTCTGTTTGGTCTGCCCCTTTTTAACAACGATTATCTGTTATCATTCTACTCTTTCTGTTTGTGATGAGATGGAGAAGTCCTCGCTGAACGGCACTGAGGACAGATCCTGGCTGGGGGAGGGTCAGTCTGAAACCCAGCTTACAACCATCCCTGGTGCTGACGGAGCTGAGACAAACGACGACGACCGGCCGGCATGGGACTCCAAGATCCAGTACGTGTTGGCCCAGGTGGGGTTCAGCGTGGGCTTAGGCAACGTGTGGAGGTTTCCATATCTGTGCCATCAAAACGGAGGAGGTGAGTGTCTTTAAAGACACAGCACTAGTTCAGCTTTCTTGACACCAACTTTGTACATTTTGACACTGGAAGACGTGCAAAATGCAAAATTGGGACGTAAACATGCAAAAACACGTGAGATGGAGTAGGCAGCATGGTTAATATTAAAAGTGTGTCTTCCTTCCCTCCTTCAAGGGGCCTTCATGCTGCTGTATGTTTTCCTTTTACTGATTGTGGGAGTTCCCCTGTTTTTCATGGAGCTGGCTGCAGGCCAAAGCATCCGACAGGGCAGCATCGGAGTGTGGAAGCACATCTCCCCAAAGCTGGCGGGGATCGGCTACTCCAGCTGCATGGTGAGCAGTATTTTTATTTGCATTATTTTAAAGCTACTTTCATCTAGTCATGTACATCTGGGAACTCACACCTCGGATAATAGTTGTCGCAGATAAAAGCCAAGTTGAGGAAGCACATTCATTCTCCATCCTGAACTCTGTAAAGCACCGTAGCTGTGAAATGCTGATTTTTACAGTCCTGTCAGCTTGTAGTGTTTCCACCAGGCAGCTGTGGTTCGGTAGCTGGCTGGTGTCTTTAAGTTCAGGTTTAAAGGTAGGGCACTGGTCAGTATATTAATGTAACCCTATTAGACTGAATGTCCTCCACTTATGTCATTAAAAAGCTGCAGCGTGTACTGCCTCTTTTATCACATTTCTGTAAACAGCTCTCTCTTTTTAGCACCAGTCGTCCTGTGTGTAAACCTAAGGACATGATGACATCAGGCCATGAGAGACGCAGTGTGCTGTATAGTTCAGTCTGGGCAATTTGTTGCGTAACAGTTTTCTCTACAGACTAGACGAGGCAAACACACAGCGGGCAAGATCTTTCTGTGCATGTACAGCACAGAGAGTTCTACTGTTAGATGCCTGTGCTTTTTGGAACACCTCATGCTTCATGGCTCATTGTCACCAATCACTGCGGCCGCATTTCTTCGCAGCATTGCATGACAGCTAAAACTGATCTTCGGTTACTTGAGGTTTGTCCCTTAAAACACCTTTTTAAAGAATGTGCTCCTTCTTCTCTAGGTCTGTTTTTACGTGGCTCTTTACTACAATGTCATCATTGCATGGAGCCTCTTCTACATGGGGAATTCTTTTCAGTATCCTTTGCCGTGGCAGCATTGCCCAACCGATGTGACCACCAATGAAACAGGTACTCACATCACTGAGAAGTTGCTTAAAACGAAATGATACGTACATTCAAGGTCTTCAATGTTGCCTGTCCTCCATCAACAGTGAAAGAATGCGCAAGTAGCTCCCCGACGTCGTATTTCTGGTTTCGGAAAGCTCTCAACATCACAAACTCCATTGAAGAATCTGGAGAGTTTAACGGCATCATGACGGGCTGTTTATTGGCTGCTTGGGCGATCGTCTCGTTGGCCATGATCAAGGGCATCAAGTCATCTGCAAAAGTAAGCAAACACCATGTCAGCAATCAACCCTTCAGCATTCATTCATGGTCATGTCATTGTTTAAGTAATAAGGAAACGATGCATTTGTCATCTGTCCGTTTAAAATAAGCCACAGCCACCATGTGTTTGACACACAGACTAGAAACAAGTAGAAAAAGGCAACCTGGGTCTGTGCAAAGGCAACAGAATCTGTCTATAAATCTGTCACAAAATAAACAAGCAAGATATAGGATAGGATAAAAACGACAAGATAAACCTTGATTAATCCTGAAGGGCATTCTTGTGCCAGATATTGCTCAGAAAATACAAAATGACATTTGAAATGCAGTGCCTGAAAATTTGAAAAGCAATAAGGTATAAGTTCACTGCAATACTGAAATAAAATAAATAAATAATAAATTAATTAATTTAAAAAAAACTGTAAAATGCACTGCTGGCAAATACACTGAGGTAATGCAATTTTGCACCTCAAACATGAAACGAAAATGAAATGTCTACTTCTTTGACATTGTTGTACAAGAAAAGTGAAATATCGCACATGTAATCAAAATGTTATACATTAAAATGAAAATATAAAATATTGCCCATTAAATGAAATATTACAAATGATACAGAAACTGATATTACACAAACTATTAAAAAAGTAATACTGCAAATGATATTAATGTTATTGTTTAGATCTAAGTGTGTGACATAATGTGTTAATTCTGAGCTTTAGAGGTGCTGGTTAGCAATTCTTGTATTAACTGTTTATGCTAAGCTAACTAGCCGTCCACTACATTATGTGTGATCCACACACACGAGAGTTGCACAAGTTAATCTCTATACCAAAATCTTTTAAGATTTCTGGAATCAGCAATCACTCTCTGTTTCTTTTTCCAATCTTAGGTGATGTACTTTTCCTCCGTTTTTCCCTATGTGGTCCTTTTTATTTTTCTGATCAGAGGGTTGATGTTGGACGGAGCCATGGAGGGAGTCACCTACATGTTTTATCCAAAAGTAGGTTTCATCAAGTGTTTTTTGCCATTTTTTCTAGACTTCTTTTCCTAATATTGTTTTTTTTTTAAATCTAATAAATGTGTAAAAAAAAAATAAAATTGACATCTTGAAAGTTTGGCAGATAATGAGTCTTTGTTTCGTGGTACTTTTCAGCTGGAGATCTGGGGTAATGTGCAGGTGTGGCGGCAGGCTGCCACTCAGGTGTTTTTTGCCCTCGGTCTGGGCTACGGCTCCGTTATCGCGTATTCCTCCTACAACCCAGTCCACAACAACTGCCACAGGGACGCGCTGATGGTCTCTGCCATCAACTTCATGACGTCTGTGCTGGCATCGCTGGTGGTGTTCGTTGTGCTGGGTTTCCGTGCTAAGAACATCGCACTGCGCTGTGTGGCTAAGTATGGATATGTGTTTGACTGTGTAGGTCTTTGCATTGATATCCAGTTTGCAGAGGATGGTTTGATTGTCTGAATGTTTGATGTACAATTAAACAGGATATTGGAGAACTCGCATTTTTCATCCTCTTCCAGGAATCTCGGTCTATTAAACCTCGTGGCGTCCAATGGATCCAACCAGCACTGGTGGCCTTGGTTCAACATGACCAATCCAGACTCTGTGTCTATTCCTGAATACAGAGAGTGGTACAGTCACTACGGCTCCATGGTGGGTCCTAAAATCACTGACTGCAGCCTGGAGGAGGAGATGAATAAGGTAGCCTTGAGATTTAAAATCACGCTGAAAGAGCTAAAACTAGAAAATAGCATCGGGAGAATTATTTACTAGACGTGGAAGACCAATCAAGCTTTTTAGCTTGTTATCATGTACATATGGTGTTGTTTATATGCTGGAAGACATATCATGAGTGAAATAAGCAGTCAGCCCCATAGTGGACTGATGACAGTCTCAGAAATGTGGAATTAAGCTTCCACAGTTTCATACATAACAATCCAAACGAACCAACCCTGTCATGTGTGGCAAAATTACTCCAATGTTGCAACTTGCCATGGTCTGGCATGGACTAACTTTACAGAATATGAGTAGAATCGTGGGTGAGCTGGTGTGCTCAGACTGCAGCAAATGGAGAGGATTGGTTCTAGAGAGGCGGAGACTTTATACATCCACAGATTCTAGAGGAAGTGATGGTGTAGAGTCAGATTTAAGGCTTTTTAATGCAGGTGACAGGATCATATGTAGCTTTAATATAGGAAGATGAGTTTTTAGGTGTTTAATCAATGACTGCAGAGGAAACAAGCAACTTGAAGCATGTAATTTAAACAGACAAAAAACATTTTTAAGGTGAAACATAGTGAAAGCATGATCCAGCAAGTCATTGGAGATTTAACAGATCGAGATTGAATGATCACGTTGGCTTTGCTGAAATGTCTGAATGTGATAAATCATCCATAACAACAACAAGAAGATCGCCACATGTTCCCGAGAGCAGATAAGGACGCACAGACACCATTCAAATCCAATATACTGTATGTCCTGTATTAAGCTCAATTGTAGTAATTCGGGGTACACGTGAGAGCAATAAGTCCTGGGCTGAATTTCTTTCATAGTAAACCTTTGCTGACACCAAGTCAAGCTTCTAACGTAGCACTAAGATACAGTTATTTTGACCATCTGGTACCATGAAAGGTTTGGATGCAAATACCTTTCATAGAGGAGAGCTGCAGGTTTCTAACATTGTAGAAGACACTGGCTCTCTAAAAAAAAAGACAGAGACCAAAGGTGAACATTTCAATAACAATAGTATGTAGGCGGAGAGCTGATGTTCCCAGGACCCCTGAGGAATCTGGGAGGTACAGTAAAACATCCAGCAGGCCGGAGGATGAAAACATATTGGGCACCGTATCTAGCTGGAAGAAATGGAAACAAGCTGCGTTAGAGGAAAGAAAGAAGAAACTAAAGAAACAGAATGAGGGTTACAAAGAGTCATGTTATCTCACAGTGTGTATTTTATCAAAAAAAAAAAAAAAGCAATACTCTTAAAGATGGAGGCTCAGGAGGAGGACGTTTTTGTATTGATAGGTGTCTTCCATTGTGTCGTGGTGTAAAAACTCCAACTCTGAATCCTTTACCTGCAAGAAGCCTCTATTTAGACACATTTGTTTTCTGTCGAAGTGCCATTTGTTGAAATATTTTGCCACTATCGTTATATATTTGTGTGTGCATGCAGGGTGTCGAGGGGACCGGCCTGGCATTCATAGCGTTCACTGAGGTGATGGCGCTCTTCCCGGCCAGCCCCTTCTGGTCCACGCTGTTCTTCCTAATGCTGCTCAACCTGGGACTCAGCACCATGTTCGGGACCATGCAGGGAATCCTCACACCTCTCATGGACAATTTTAGCCTCTTGGGACGCCACAGGACCCTCCTCACTGGTAACGCACACACACAAGTCGACACATGCTCAAATGTGGTCATTTAAAGTTTTTGAATGACTTTTTAACTGCGGATTTATACATCTGGAGCATTTGAGCAGGACATTTTGACATCTAAGTTAGTTATTCTTGGCTTTGTTTACAATTCCGACAGTAATTATTATCGTTTATTTGTCTTTTTTCCCTGTTTTTCAGTGTCCAGCTGTGCTCTGGGTTTCGTGATAGGATTATTGTTCACCCAGCGCTCCGGAAACTATTTTGTGGCCATGTTTGATGACTACTCTGCAACCTTACCGTTAGTCATCGTGGTCATTTTTGAAACCATCAGCGTGGCGTGGGTTTACGGCACAGATCGGTAAGAAACTTCTAACATCAAATTACTTTGTCCTGTTTCATTGTCTTATTCTGACCCCTCAAAAAATGCAAACATTTTCCATCTCTGCAGCTTCCTAGACGACATCGAAGTCATGCTCAAATGGCGCCCTCCAGTGGTGTACAAGTATCTGTGGAAATATGTTTGCTTATTGGCCATGATCAGTCTTCTGGCCGCCAGTTTGTTGCGTATGGTCTTCAAAGGACCCACGTACACCGCCTGGAATCAAAGCACAGTAAGATATTAGATTATAACTCTTTATCAGGCACATGAGAAAGTCAAAATAGCCTGTTATAGTTTCAATATAGAGCCCAGACTGTAAGTATTTCAACAGTTGGATGAGCTTTGTTTGATAACGCAGCACAATTTGAAACAAACGTACATTAAAGAGCCAACACTCTAAAATTTGAGTATCAACATAGGAGACGAACATGTGGTCAAACTAAATCATTATATTTCATATTTAATTGGAAAAGCTTTGCAGCTGTTGCTTGCTGTGGAGTCTCTGTCTTCAGTTTGATCTTCAGAAAGCGTCTCAGACGACTGAGATTATGAGATTGACTCGGCCGGTCGAGGATATTCCACCTCTTCACCCTGAAAAGCTCTTTAGTTGTTTTTTTTGGCTGCATGTTCAGGATGTTGAATGATGAAATATCGCCCAAAATAAGTTTCTGACTGAATCTGAGTGTGCAGAATGCTCCTTTATAGCTTCTGATTTATTCCTGTCAGCAGTTAAATCACCTATAAGTGAAAGTGTCCCAGTTGCATTGGCGTACAACAGATTTTTAGCCTCGTTGTTATCCTCTCGGTCACCTCTTTACTCTTCATATTGACTCTTGAGCCACGTGATCGGTTTTGTGCATAAAATAATGTAGGAAAAACACACAGTGGCCCAAAAAATCAAGTGTCCAGTTATTTTGAACTTTTGTAGTTAAGGCACTGAGTGTTTAAAGGTCTCTAACAGTTCTTTCATTACTGACATAAACCCACTCAAATTAAATCTGAGACTTGACACTACAATGCTGAATCAGTTATTACATATAAATAGAATTGTTAGACAACAACAAAAGACAGTTTAGCAGCATTTGGGTTAGCAGTGTACAACAAAAGAGCACGAAGGCATTACAAAAAAGGAATTGCACTGCATAATACACAAGATTGCACTGTATATAATACAATAAAAAAGGCAGATTGATTAATTTTCCTGAAGCACAGAACCTCATGGACAAAAACACCTTGACACCTTATTGTGTAGCTCGTCTCCTAACGATATTTAGATGCTTGTTTCTGCCTGTAAATCTGTCACAGCATTTGTTGAAGCATTGACAGCTCCGTATCTGTTAATTGTACTTTCAGTAGGTTCAGTTTTACTCCTGATATCCTGTTATAGCTGCTGTTAAAGTCAAAGGTGATTCCAACTTTTGGAATTTTTCATGGTTGTTAAGATCCAGCCTCTAGGGTCAGCTGGAACTGACAAACACTAGGTGTACTCGGTTGAGATAAAGCAATTTACTGCTCAGTAAATGAACACAAAAAAAGGGTGACATTACGAAGAAAACGGGCTAATGGATGCTGCGAAATCAAAGAACCAAATAAAACCAAACAAAGGCTGATGGAGTAAAGGAAACTAAACAGAAACAACTAAACTCCCGAGCCAGCCTTAATTCCAATAACAACACCCGTAGTCAACAAAAGAAACTACAACAAGTGCCTCGAAATGCAAATTACAAAAAAACACAAGACACAAATAACTTCTAAACTAAGTAAGACAGCTGCTAAGTTTTAACTGTAATTAATTATTGTAAAATAATTTGCACAGCGTAAAAAGATCTCAGATCTCCTGCCGACATCTTTCTCTTTAAAAAGCTCCAGCTGTGTGAAATGTCCAGAAGGGCAGCATCAGTTATGCTGCTGTTAAATAGTTCCTAATACACATTTGCACATTTATTGATCTACTTTTAAAACTGACTGTGTGAATGCACTGACAGAATTGCTGCTTGATTGCTTTGTACGCTGTACACTGACAATAAAGGAATCCTCTTTGTCTCATCAGGCCTCTGAGATGACCCTCGAGTACCCCGGCTGGGCCCTGGCCATGATCGTCATGCTCATAGTGGTCGCCAGCCTGCCTGTGCCTATTGGCTACATCCATTCCAGGTTGAAGAACCGCAGGGTCCGTAACGCTCCGTCCCAGGAGGGCGGCGGCCAGGAGATGCACCGTGAGCTGTACACCAAGTGCAGCTCCACGGACCAGCTGGACTCCAACACGCACCGAGTCCCTTCCGAGGAAGAAGGGGTCCACCCCAGACCGGCCTTCCTGCTGATGGGCAGCGAACACTACCGGCTCCTGCCCCAGCAGGAGGAGGAGGAGGAGGAGGATGAGGAGGAGCAGGATACTGGGCTGTGAGCATGCGGTTTGTGAAAAGACAAAATGTTGAACCTCTGAGCATGCGAGAAGGACGCGTCATTAACAGCATTATTCTTTATCAGAGAAAAAGTCTTTGGGTTGTTTTCTATCTTTATATCCTGTAAACTGTTGACAAGCCAAAGCTATTTTAACTATTTATACCGTTGATGGTGCATTACCAGTCAAAAGCATCTCCCCTACATTCGTTTTCTGAACCACTGATGCGGTTCAGATGATTAAAAACTCTCTCAAAGACACAAAAAAGGAAAACGGCTGCAGAATTTGGTGATAATTTGTGGAAGGTTTGTGCAGCCCGACCTCTTGCGGGAGTCACAACTGAATCATGGAACGCAGCAACTGACAAAATATGCTTCGTGATGAGTATTTTTTAGCGACGTGACAAGTATGGATCTGCATGAAAACATTCTACCTGGAGAAACTGAGATGTGTTTGCACATCTGTCTCTGTGTGCGTGACTGAGAGAGTGAGTGTGTGTTGGGTGAGATGAGAAGTTAGTCGGTTATTTTATATTTGTATAAATTTACCTCAAAAGACCACAGCAATGTTTTTACATGTGTTCACACAAAATGCTCAGTGTAGCAGTGTTGTACTGTAACTAGATGGCAACTTAAATAAAACCTCTAGATGGCAGCAAACTGACTCTGTCTTTTTTTCATTTTAACACACACTTAAATCTGAAGCTGCTAACACCTTTAAAACTTCATTTTCATTTTTTCTTCACTGTGTGGCATTTTTAAAAAATGTTTTCTTTGGTTTAGAAAGAGTCAAATAAATATTGCTGGGGGGGTTCCATTCATAGAGGTTGTTATAATTTCAAGGTCTTTGAATATGCTAAAGAGCTAACTAGAGGTAAGGATAAGCTAGTTTAAATAAATATTTTAGGGAGAACAGAGTAGCAGCTTACTAATTCATGACTCTATACTCTCAAGCTGATACTTAAGCTACACTTTAGGCACTGAAATACACGGCTAAATATTTAAGTAGATTCTATACTTTCATGATATCTAAAGAAATTTGCTGCAAGGTGGAATTTTTAAAAAGTAAAATAGATAAAATCAAACTTTTCACTGGAGCTGAGTCTGTTAGACACCAGAATAAATGGAAGTTTCGTCAGTTTTAGAAGCTAATAGGACGGCAAATTAGAACACTAATAATTGAAATGGCTTCGAGTCATTTTCTTTGACACTTTTGCAGAGCAACGCTGATTAGGTTTGCTTTAATTCGTACAAATGCGCTCATAGCTGAAGTTTTAGAGGGATCATAACTTGACTTGTTGCAGCACATCTAGATTTAGATATTTTATGTGATTATATTTGTATATCTTCTAAGTAAGATTTAGATTTATGTTAAATCCTAATATGTTACATATTTTACTGTCATTTGCAAAATTGCCCAAGAGCTATAAAAAAAGCAGTTCATTGCACAATGTAGAAAAAAATTCCCATAAAAAATATAGAAAAATATAATAATGTTCTAAAAATATAAGAATAATAAGATTTTTAGTGGATTTAAATATAGTGAAGAAATAAAAAAATACAAATAAATTTAATTCCAGTATTTTAAAAGTATATATATATAAGATTTTTGACGGAAATGTTATTTACAGGTTGTTGTTTTGTTTTTTGTTATTATGCAAATAACACCTTTTCTGAACATTTAGCACTTATTAACTGTTACTGATACTGTTACTTTTGTTACTAACAAAACAGGGAAATATGTAATGTAACTGCAAATTGTTAACAGAATAACAGTTAAAAATTTCTGAAAAAAGGGCTATTTTTTTGTAGTGTTGGTCTTTAAGATTTATAAATTCACTGAGCTCTTCATTGCAAACCTGAGCTCCAATATTAGATGCATACAAAAAATAAAAACAGCTTCAACTGCAAGAATACGAGGTCAAAGGGCAGAGGTCATTTTCAAATGGTAAACCAAATCGTTTCCCCCGTAAATACACCTAAAGTGAACTAAAGTAGTATGAACCCAAACTATATCAGAAATATATATGTTAACCATCTGGGGCAGAAACTGAAGGTTCAGATTTAGCACAGGAGGGTGGAATATTCAAAATCCATGCAGCGAGAGACAATTAATGAAGAAAGACCAAAAGCTGCGTGACATTTTTAACCCGAAAGGCCCTCACCTGTGTGGGGTCTGAAGGTGAAGTGAAGTGGAGATTGGTGCGGGTGGGGAGGGATGAGAGAGAGAGAGAGAGAGAGAGAGAGAGAGAGAGAGAGAGAGAGAGCCCTGTGCGTTCAGGCAGGACAGGCGGGCGCGCAGGACATCAGCACACCGGCCGGGTCAAGGAGCTGCAAGGATGGAGATCCGACCAGACAGGTTTAAGGCGGTCGCGGGCAAAACTCTGGGGAAAATTCACAGGTACGCAGCTATTTCAAATAATCCTGCCTCCACCTCTGACTTGTGCCAGTTTTCACGCGTTTTTCCTCTGCGGGACAGCCACGCGTCGTGCTGCGGGTTCCCCCATCGTCTCCTCCAGCCAGTAACTTTCTACTGGAGCAGAAAAGTTTGTTCCTTATTGGCTTTAATTGGAGTGATGTGCACTGTTGGGTTTAAGCCACAAAACATCCCGATCCAGATCCAGCTTTGCGCAGCGCGCAGTGAAGCGCTTGGAGTCACAGAAGTGGCTGAAAATGCGTTTAGTGATGGAGAAAACATGTGCCCCTCATTCCATGCGTAATTTGGGGTTTAAAAATAATAGCAAAACAGTCAAATTATGGCCGGAAACATCGTTTTAAAACAACAAAATTCCACCATGGGAGCGTAAGTGGGATGGAACTGGGCAGTGAAAGTGCGGTAAACTCGCCATAGTGCGCATAAGGGACCAGAGTGGGGCTTTATTTCGTTGGGTTTTAATGTTTCGTTATGCTTTACTGCATACTTTGCCATTTTTTCTTGTTTGTTAGCTCTTGTGAGATTTGGTAAAGCTGAAAGTGGTGGTTCAGATGGGAAGAAAGTCTGGTTACATAATGTTTCCGTGCGTTATTGGCACGACCTGGCTGAACGAGAGCGCTGCCAGATGGAACCAAATAACCCGCAAAATCCTGACATCTATCTATCTGATAGTGTCACAATAATGAAACCCAGAGTTACAATGTGACTTTGAACACTTTTTAACATATTCAGGATAATATTTGTCATGACATTAATTAATCATAATCTAATTGATGAGTATCTCAGATGAGAAGTTGAGCTTTTAGAACATTTTTTGGTAAAAACCCATGAGATTTCAGGCCATGAAGGGAATTAAGTTTCCAAAACTTTACTTTTATCAAGTTGAATGACAAAAATGCCATCAGCTACTCTGATAATTTGCTATGTGATAAAGTTACATGGTTGAAAACTGATCATTTGAGGCTACAGATGATTCCTTGGACTTTAGGAAATTGTGCATCTTTAGCTATTTCTGTCATTTCAATAGACAAAACAGTCAATAAAGGATAAATATTGGTTGTGGCAGCAAAAAGGCAGTATAATAATAAAAGGAAAGCTGTGCTACTGTGTCACCTCCACAACCTTTAAATGATGCACACAGTGACTCCCGGAGAAAAACAATAGTTTATGTCTGTGTCGATGAAACTCTGAAAGTAAAGACACACAAATTTCTGAGAGTCTTTAGTCACAAATGTGTTAAAGTGCAGGATGTGTGTGTATAAATTGCATATCAATGCAAAACTTGCAACACAGATCAGTGTGCTAACAATATTTCAGTAAGAAAAGAGAGATTAAAGATACTGATAGAACCTCATGCAATAACCATCGCTTTAAGCTTTCGCTCTCTCAGGATTTGAGGTAGCAACCAAACGTATAAATCCCATCCTGAAATAGCCTGTTTTTCAGTCCAGCTGTCGAGCCATGCAAATCCCTAAACTCTCCCCTCCCACTCACTCCATCCCAGCCCATGTCACTTCCTCCAGCCGCTGCCTCCTCCTCCTCCTCCTCCTCCATCCTCCGTCCATTGAGACACCAGCACAGGCAACTTTCAGCCTATTGGGGTCTCCCAGATTAACAGACATGCGAATCTCAGGCTTTTTCTCTCTTACTGGTCCTGAGCCATGCATGCACACAGCTGATGCTATGAGAGATGTGATGCGTTGGATTGGATTCAGATTGGTTTTAGTGGGCGTTTCCTCAGCTTAGCTAGTGACCTCTGGTTTAATGTCACCACAGTGTTGTACACCAGCGATGGTTAGCAAAGGAAAAGAGAACATTGTGTGCAAATTGATGCAAAAAAAAAAAAGTGTGCTCTGATGCGCGTGTGTGAATATGTTTAATCGAAAAACGTAGGACATCCCCGCACTGTGTAAGCAGATGTCTGTGTGCAATCGCACCAGCTCATAGACAAAACTGTGATCCCTCCTGATGAAAGCAGCCAGGAGTTCATCTATTATTTAAACATTTTCTCCATCAGAATGCATCTCCTGTTTCTATATTAAACTCCACTAGGTAAGCATAAACTTCAGCACTGTAAGGTCAAGTGCACTCCACATTTCTACTTTGACGTATTCAAACAAATGTCCCCAAAAAGTCTTGAATGCATTCATGCATTCTTCTGCTCCTCCACCACACTGCATGATAAACAATCATGCTGCAACCGTGTCTTCGTTGCAGTTTTGATTGCGTGTGAAAGTTACTCATCGTATCCCACAGATGTTCTCATAGAAATGCCCCACGCTGGTTTTATTAAAAGACTGTACTACACACAAGGCCATGAAGAATATAACAGGTAATCCATTTTTAATCCACTTTACTTGCAGTGGAGTGCGTTTTTTAGTTACAACCTCTGAGGAGTGGTCTAAATAAAATATTCAACCAATGCTGAGATGAACAGTGAGAATTATTTGACATTATCGTTGCTACTTTAGGAAACTGGATGTGGCTGATTGCAGGAAGAAAAAAAATGCAATCATAGCATATTTAAAGACAAATCTAAGAACTACAGTCGGTTACTTACTGTATATACAGCAACTTCCTGGCATGTGCACGGTTCTCGCAGTGACTTACCTCAGTCACCTTTGCACGACACTACTGCACCGGAAACACTTTGTCATTGCAGAGAACCATCATCCAGTGAATCCTACGAGACAACACTTTCAGAGACATGATTAAAGTGAAAAGCCATCAGAAAGAAGCTGTTGTCAGGAGGCTTCTGATTGTGTTTTATGTGCATTGTTGTGTGTTAAAGTGGTTACATGTGCACAGGTTTGGTGAAAACGTCTTCACAGACCTGCAGTAGCTGAGCAGTTTGGAGAGTCAGCTGCAGCCTCTCAGCATGCCTCCTTGTTGGCAGTTAGTGTCTGTGATGTCAGGAAAGCTTTGGTATTCTTGCTGCTTCACTGAAACACAACGGTACAACAAGAGCAAGAGAAGAAATATTTAGATGTATGCAGTTTCATGATCCTATCATGGCTGAATTGTTGCTCTGTGGTGAATGAAGTGAGAAGTGTGTGTGTGTGTGAGCGTATGCAGGCAGCACTCACAGGGTGATTGAGTGATCCTATGCAAGTATTTAGATAATACGTCTATGAAGGTCACACGTGTGGGTGTTTGAACATTGTGTGTCCACAGGAGAGAGAGAAAGAGGAGGAGGAAAAAAAAAAAGAAAAAAAAAGTGGTGTGACAGGATGGGGAGGAGGGTGTCTCCCTGGGTGACACAGTCCCACCGAGACCCAATCTGTTCACTTCAGGGAGAGCGAGAAGCTCACAAAGGAAGGGGGAGACACCGATTTCAAAAACTGCAAAATAACCACAGAACTTCCAGTTTAATGCTACGTATACCTCAAAACACCTGAGGGGGAATTTGGGGAAGAAAAATGAAGTGTTTGGGCTGAAATAAGAGGCGGGGAAAGCACGATTTATGTACAGCAAAATGGAAGATCAATTCTAAACACAAATGTGGATTATATAATATTTTACCCCCTTCGCCGTCCTCATATGAGAGGATTACACCCAGTACTCTGTGAATTGGTGGATTTGATATACAGCCTCACAAAAAGTCCCAGGTGACCGGCCAGCATGTGAGAGTCACAGTTTGAATTGATCAAAATCATAAACAAAGCAACGTTGTACAAATTAACTGACAATTTAAGAACAAATGTGGAAAAAAAGAAATTCCACATTACCTTGGTTCAATATTCCAAAAGGCCCCCAAATTTCTGGTTACCACAAATGTGCAAATGTCTTTGTCAAATATACAAATATAGGTAAATATCTGGGTTTTAAATTTGACTGCTTTCATGTTTATCAAATATAATCTCACTTTGGGTTGTGGGGATTTATAACATGCATTTTTTTCACAAGTTTGAATCACTGATTATATTAATAAATTACCTTAGAACCTTTAAAAGTTGGAGTTGCAAAGCGCTCGACAAAAAGCAACAATAAAATATTTTTTAAAGAAGTTAAACTTTACAAAAGGCAATAAAACATTAAAAAGGGAACAATGCTGACAGTTTAACCACAAATGTGATTTTTTTTAAATCAATAAAATAAAATAGCAGTGAAGGAATTTCCCATTACACAGGTTTAATATTTTTTTTTTAAATTTAATAGTCAAATCTTTGTTTAAATAAAATTTTAAAAGTTTAAACAAAATATCTGATTACAGATTCATAAATGTGCATTTCTTTGTCAAGTATAAGCATAATTATATTTTCTTTAATCTTAATCAAATAAAATAGACTTTATAAATATATCACCTTGGGCTGTGGGGCTTTATGACATGCACTGTCTGCAAATTTTGAATTAATATTTATAAATTGGTGTTAGGTGCTTTACAAAAAGCAGCAGTACAACATTTTTTTAAAAAAACAATAAAACATGAGAATTTTTTTTTTTTTTTTTAAATATACAAATTCCATTCTGTACAGGTGGGTTTTTAAATGCTTTTTTAAAATAACTGATTCATCAAGATAAATGTCAGAATAAACAATATTGACAGTCATGATTAGCAGTACAACTATTTAATCCGTAATAATATTCAAGTGTAAATGCAAATTAACATCATTTTCAGTAAATCTACTTATGCTGGTCCAGTGTATAAAAGCACTGAAGTCTTTGTGTCAGACTTTTACAAGTTGGACTGTGCTTCCTGTGCTCAGGTGAAAATCACAGATACGAGCTTCGTTCGAGGTGCGAACCTCCGCTGAGCCTGCTACTATTGTAATTCTGACATGTCAGAGAGCCTGAGGTCACAGGACTCCTGGCTGCTCATGCTCTCTCGCTCATTAATCGTTGCCAGCTGAGGCCGATCAGGTTCTCTCTGCACTAACAAGAGAAGCTGGCGGTTTTATGAGCCTCACATGAAGGCAAATGACCAGCAACAACTCTCTTTTCTCTGTCTGTCCTCTGCTTGCACGGGAGCTTTGCATTTTAAACCAAGCAAGTCACACATGAGATTACTGCATTTGTTTGCAAACTGAAAATGCCAGTAAACTCCTTCACTCACAACTTAAAACAGCACATTAGGGCTATTTTTGGGATGCCTGCACACACACACACACACACAGACACACACACTGGGGTGATGTTGCCCTTTTAGTAGAAAGCATCCGTAATTAACAATCATTTTTGCTGTGGGCTAGCCTCGTTAGCTGGTAGCATATGTGTCGATGTCAAGCTGCAATCTGTCTTGATGCCTAATGAGGATCCTCCTGCAACCTTCATGAACTGTGAAGTCGGATACTGAGCTCCACTCAGGGGGCGAGTCAGCACATTTGTTCGGCACAGAGAGGACAGCAGCGTGAGCGCGGCCAACTGATTCGACAGAAAATATGTGCACTACATGCTTTTTGATCCATTTATCACTGAGAAAACACGGGATTGGTCGCAATTTTAGTGGACAAGTGCACCTTTTGACAAATATATATCACCTGCACGTGCTGTAGCTGCAATAATAATGAACACACAGTCTATTTGACCCCACTTCTGAGTCAGTCAGACTGTATTTTGATGTTAAATCTGGAAAATTTACCAACAGATGATGCAAATTGTTAAATGTTTGACTTGAAACATAAAGTAAAAGATTTCAAAAATTGATTCAAAGAGCAGCATGTGTCGTGATAGAGGGAGGAGCATGCTGAACTGTGCTCAGCGCTGGTCGGTCCGTCCATATTCATTTCCGGAAGTAAATCATTTTTGTAATCCTAATCTGAATGTAGTGACAGATTAAGAGATAGAGAGAGAGAAAGGGAGAGAGAGAGAGAGAGGATGCAGCTCCTCTAATCTCTTACAAATTCCAAAATGTTGCTTTACAAAGTATTTTTTGTTGTCCTTTGTGTTTTTTTTAAAAAGTAGAATATGTTGTAATGGATGCAGAGTTCATTTATGCATCATTATGTTGGCATATTTTCTTTGGTTGTGTTTTGTTTGTTTATTGACTGATTGCACGGACGTATGAAGAGATTAGTCTGCTGTGTGCAAATGGGGGGAGGGAGCGGAATCCATGAGCATAACTAAGAAATGTAACGTCTGCCTGGATGAGACAGAGTGTACATGCAGAAAAAACCCGATGCACAAGCCAACAGATAGATAGATAGTGACAGATTATGGTGCAAAAGCCGGAGTGAATTATTTATCGAACTCAAAAAAACACATCAATAATTAACCAAAGTCAGAGTCTGGCTTGTCTTGGGTTAGCGTGTGTGAATAAGGGCGAGTCTTTCAGAAAACACAAGAACTTATCAAAGCCCAAATCTGAAACACCTTTTTTTTCTTCTTTTTTTTTTTTTTCAATATGCAGTAATCAAATCCTCGTGGCGATTGTACCCGTTTCTGTGCATAATTCTCCAGCTCACTGACTAACTGGATCAGCCCGATGGAAGGTGGACGGCTGAGTGTGCTCTGCTGTGAATTTGCACATTCACATTAAAACACACACACATGTATATTTATACACACTGAAAACTGTGGCAGTGTGTCTGATTGAAGGTGTGGTTGGGTCTTACTTGCATGGGGTTTGTTGTTGAGAAAATGGAGGCTGTCGCACACAGATGGCCGCTCTCCTGACTTCTCTGTTTGACTCCTGTGGGGGAAAAAAAACAACAAATTTTGGTCTCCTTGAGGAAAAACTGAATAATTCAAGCAAATAAAAGAAAAATCCCTCAGCTCTTTAAGTCAACAAAAAAGACATTTTAGGGAGAAAATCATGATGGAATGAGTGTATATGTGAGCATACCACTTGAAATATTGATTACCCTTTCGTTTTGCGGTTCAGTGAACTATAACAGCTTCTGCTTTTCTATAAAACTCCCCTTTTCAGTCGATCAACATAATCCACATTTGCAAACTGATGTATGCTTTGTTAAGCATCGTATCTAAATGACGTAATAAGAATTCATGCATTTCACTACTTCCGTCATGTGCACTGAACAACCCTGCAGTACAAACACATGAACCCGTCCGTTCGGTGGTAATGTGTTGGGTTCGATCTCGACAGTCTTTAGCGGCACCAGCATGGCAGCAGGTCCCAGGCAGCCTGAAGGAGCTGGACGCTGGGGGAATCTGCTGTCGTGGCTCTTCGGCGAGTGACAGCTGCTTCCACTCGCTGGGACACACTGAGTCAGACACGAGCCCGACACGAGCCCAAGGTGGTGCGTGATGTCTGCCTGGAGGTGTGTGTGTGAGAGAGAGAAAGGGAGGCAAAGGCAACAAAATCTGCACAGTAACTCCATGAGGTGTCAGCAGAATGAAAAAGGACGAATGTGATGGTTGCGTTGCTTCAAGATGTTTCCCATGTTCCAAGCTTTCTTACAGCCCAACAGTGTTCTTTTGAAGCATTAAGTGGGTCATCTAAATGTTATCTATAAGTCTCTGTGACTTTCTCTAAAGGAAAATGTTTAACTGCACTCGCTGACATTTAATTAGCAGGTATCATGTTGAGCTAACTGGCATTAATCCAACATATTTATCTCCTGCTAAGTAAAGCATCACACTGTTAAACATACACGTTTTCTAACAGGTTTATGTATCATTTTCTTAAACTCTAAAGATTTTTGTTGTTTTGTTGTTTGCAATTAACTAGATAATAAAGAATAAAATCACAGAAAAAAAAGTATTCAATTAAATGTTAACCCTAAAAAAACTCCAAAACTATAAATAATGTCCACAACATAAAGCTTTCATTTATAAATGGTCCTTTGTTCTTCTACTAAGTTTATTATCACTGTTCTTTCACTGTATTTAAATCAGCAATAACATCATTATTTGAAAGATATTTGCCATTGTTTGAAATGACACATATAAATATTAGGGATTGGAAAATAGTCAACCATCTGTTACTTTACAGATGTTTCCCTGTTTTGGTAAATCATATATATAATATCCAGTAAAATCACAGAAAAAGTAGTAATTGTTGGAGAAACTGTACATGATGTCCATATCGAAATCTTTTTTTTTCTTTTTTTTTTTACAAATAGTCATATGTTCCTTTACAGTGTGTATCATAAAATTAGATTCTTTTACTGTATTTAAATTAGATATTTGTCATTATTTTCATTTTTTTCAACAACTTTTCTTGCACTCTTGCTGCCAAATTTTTACTGTTCTAAATATTTTTACTTTTTTTATTTTTTACAGTGCAATGTTGCAGTGTGTTTAAACCCAAACAAATTCACTACAACCATGTCTTTTGGACCATTTTATCAATGTTTGCATCCACATTATTTGCTACTGTCTCCGTCTGTTCTCAGGCTGATTGAGAAACGGCAGCCAAATGGAGAAACCATCGAGTTGTCGGCAGAGGGTCGTCCTGAGCTGGTGGAGGAGAAGGAGCTGCCGGTGGTGGACTGTACCTGCTTCGGTTTGCCCAGGAGGTATATCATCGCCATCCTGTCTGGCCTGGGCTTCTGCATCTCGTTCGGTATCCGGTGCAACCTGGGAGTGGCCATCGTGAGCATGGTCAATGACCACACCGTCTACAGAGGCAATAAGGAGGTGCTTGTGGTAAGTAATGACACGACAGCTTGTGTATCGCCCTCTGCTGTGCCAGTCTGTCTCTGAATTCTCTTGTTTTTAACTTGAAGGATTTGCTTCTGGTTTTTAGGGGCCTGTTTATGGCACTGATCTCAGGCTACATGTGAATAGAAAGTCAGACTAAATGCAGTGTGAAACTACTATCATACAATACTGTCTAACTGCTCCATGCCATCATTTTAGATCTTAAATTTATGATTTACAGAATGTCTTGTTTGTAAGTAGCAGAGAAATGATAACAAATGGCAAAATCTGAACGACAGCAGGTATAGGTGGGTTTTGCCTGGATGGACAGATTTCTCAAACTTGTGACCATCTTTGTGATCTCTGTTTTGAAGAGAAGTCACTCAAACTGATGGATTTTCTCGTGTCCAGGCTGCACAGTTCACCTGGGACCCTGAGACGGTGGGGATGATCCACGGCTCCTTCTTCTGGGGCTACATCGTCACACAGATCCCGGGTGGCTTTATATGTCAAAAGTTTGCCGCCAACAGGTTAATATCATCACAGTTCTGTTACGTGTACTAAGGTTGACAGTTTACCAGCAGTAAGCAGCATGGTCTGCAGCATGCAGCCCCTCTGTCCCTGCATCATATGGTTTTTTTGTGTGTTTCAGAGTGTTTGGTTTCGCCATAGTGGCCACATCCACGCTCAACATGCTGATTCCATCCGCCGCCCGCTGCCATTACAGCTGCGTCATACTTGTCAGGATATGCCAGGGCCTTGTTGAGGTACAGTATGTGTCTGAGTGAACTCTATGGAAGACTTTTTCCCACAAATGTGCTGTTTCGCTGACCGTATTGCGTCCTTTCAGGGTGTATCATACCCAGCCTGCCATGGAATCTGGGCAAAGTGGGCGCCTCCTCTCGAGAGAAGTCGATTAGCCACAACGGCCTTTTGTGGTAAAGTTTAAGCATTTTATTGTTGCATTTTCTCCAAATTCAGTATCTATAATGTCTGCAGGAACTTGGGCTCTCCAGTAGAGTTTAGTTCTGAGAATTTAAACATGACTTTGTAAAGATGAAACTGCTAGAAGTCCTCCAAAGTCTAAAATGTTTTTAAAAAATAAAATAAATAAAAATACATGTGGACTCCTGGTTGCTTGGCAATAAGTATTTTGATATGACTAAGTTTTTCCTTGTGTCCTTGTGTGTGTCCTCTCAGGATCCTATGCAGGGGCAGTGGTGGCGATGCCTTTAGCTGGGATACTGGTGCAATACACTGGGTGGCCTTCAGTATTTTATGTTTATGGTTAGTGTCCTTATCCTCAAATATGTGCTAAGTAATGCACAGTCTAATACTTGTACATTTACCTGATGAGGGATCAATAAAGTTTATCTTATGTTACTGTATCTTACTTTACGATGCACCCTGTAAAAAAAAAAAAAAGTAAAACTTTACAGTTTCTGGCTGTATTTATTTAAACAATTATGTTATTTTACAGATTTTCCCTGTTGTGTTAAATTACAGCTAATAACAAGTAAAAGTTTTCACTTGCAAAACAAAACAAGCCAAAACTCAATAACATGCACACCAAAAATCTTAGTTGTTTTTGAAATGATAAATATTATTTTACTTTACTTTGTTGTTGTTTTTTGACAGACAAATTATGCATATCATCAGAAATACTTTATTGATCCCTGAGGGAAAATTGCTGAAAAGTGGTAAATAATTTTTGTTCATGGTTATTTTACAGATATTCCCTGTTTTGTTGTAGTAAAGTGACAAAAAAAGCATTTATACACACACACACACACACACACAAATATATATATATATATATATTCTCACAGGGTTGTTTTTTTTTAACATTACAGTATTCCACCATTTTTTAAGGATTTTTTTCTGGCTGCCAGATTTCCACTGTCATTTATGGGGTTTTTTTTTTTGGACTACTTTTATTTCCCCTGTTTCTCTCTCGCTATCATATTTAACTGTTCTTCCTTCACTCTCTCTCTCTTTTCCTCTCCCAGGCAGCTTTGGGATATTCTGGTATTTGTTCTGGGTTCTGGTGTCGTACGAGAGTCCTGCAGCTCATCCCACCATCACACCAGAGGAGAGGAAATACATCGAAGAAGCAATCGGGGAGTCTGCAGCGTTTCTCAATCCTCTCCATGTACGGCATTATATGACATCAAACACTAAACGTCTCTTAGCCCTGTACATGAATGCAGAATGTTTGAATGCACACACTCAGCTGACTCTCTGCTTCTTAATCAGTCTCCTCAGTGGATCCCTTCAATATCTTATTACTTTTGGTGACAGAAATTTAAAACCCCGTGGAGACACTTCTTCACCTCCATGCCAGTCTACGCCATTATTGTGGCCAACTTCTGCAGGAGCTGGACTTTCTACCTGCTGCTCATCAGCCAGCCAGCCTACTTCGAAGAAGTGTTCGGCTTTGAGATCAGCAAGGTGAGATCACATGAACAGAGTTCCCTCACAGAAGCTTCTGTCTGACACAGCATCCGGGCTGGATGCTAGAACTAAAACTAAAATCTCCCCCTCAGCCTTTCTCAGCCTGGCTCTTATTCTCATGTTTGCACTCGCCATCTCAAGCATGTTAATTTCATTTGGAAAGCCTTAGGAGGCATGCACCGCTTGTCCGATTATTCATATTTTTTGAGTGACTCATATTTTCCAAAGGTCTGCAAACAGAGATGGCGTGTGCAAACTGATTAGCAGGAAAAGACAATTTTGAGAATAGGATTAAAACATACCAGATTTTCCCGTGAAGGTGTTGGTTTATGAGAGATACACTCAAATTTTATGACTGAAGTAAAAATTAAAAAAGGGGGGAAAAAAGGAAGCATATTAGATCTTCTATTGAATTTGAGAGAAAGTGAAACAAAGCCATCACTATTTTGGAGAACACTTTGCTTTCCTTGGATAGCGTTTACTGTAGAGGTAACAGTAACAGTAACAGAGACCCCCAGATCACCACAACACCCCAAAATACTTTAACCAAAGGTCCTTATAGTCTCACCACTCAGCACATATCTTGGTAACGCCTTTGTGTAGTTATTTCAGGCTAACAAGGCCAGAATAGGAAGACAGTCACCAGAAGATAAAAATCTACAGATTTACGACAGGTTTTGTTAAATTACAGACAACATCTAATAAAATCACTGGACAAAAGGTATTTGTTTACACACTGGCAGTTTAAATAAATAAATACAGTAAATAAATAAATAAATAAATAAATAACAGACCAAAACTCTATTGTATGTCCACATCAAAAATCCATATTTTTTTAATATTTGCAAATCATCATCGTCATCATCATCTTCATTCTTGTTCTTATTGTTGTTGTTGTTGTTATCGTTGTTATTGTTGTTGTTGTTGTTGTTGTTATCGTAGACAACATTTTGTTATTTTATGTTTTGTTTTTTGCTTGGGTTTCTTGTTGTATTTTGTTGTTGTTGTTGTTGTTGTTTGTTTGTTTTTGTTTTGTTTTTGTTTTGTTTGTTTTTGTTGTTTTTACAGTTTTTGAACATTAAAGTATCCCACTGTTTTTTTTGGTAAATTTTCTGGCACCACTGCTGCCAGATTTGTCTAGAATCAAAATCTGAAACGCTGCTTGAAACGTTTGACGACTTTCCCTGAAAATAAGGTTTTAATTGCATTTTCTGCCACACTGGTTGTGCTTCTACTACAAATACACACATTGTGACGACACTGCACACGCGCAACAACACGGTTGGCTGGATGTTTCCTAGATCAGCAGATGATTGATTTTTTAAGGCGAATTCTCACATTGAGTTCTGTTCAGGCTTCGTAAGCAGCGAGTCTCTCCCTGTAACATCTTGGTTTTAACTCTTCTACTCTCTTCTTTGCTGTTATGTCATTATTTAAACCAAATTAACTAATCAGCATTAAAATTTCACATTTTACTGTTGTGCAGACTGATGTGCTCGTGTCAGATGCATTTTAACTGAAATAAAACATTTAGGGTCTTTTGAATTCATCAGCATCCTTGATCGTCTACTAGTGGCAATAATATTATTCCTGTATGTGCGTCTGTCTCTTACATGCTGTTCTCTTTCAGGTGGGGATGGTCTCAGCTTTGCCCCATCTGGTGATGACAATCATCGTGCCAATTGGCGGCCAGTTGGCGGACTACCTAAGAACCCACAACCTGATGTCCACCACCAATGTCAGGAAGCTCATGAACTGTGGAGGTGAGACTGTCGGACATGAAAGGACAGAAGCTTGATGAGAGGAGAAAGGCAGCCTAAAGAGCAGAAACTGAACGGAATCACGCAAATACAGCCCAGCTAGTCTTCCACTTTGTCTGCAAATGACGCTATATCGTTTGAAGTATAGAATCACAAAAGCATGTTGAGCGTAAAAGACTAGCTATTGACTGAGCTCAATAAAAGTTTAATTCACTCTGAGTTTAGAGAGAATCTCTTAGTTCGAGGGGCTGAGAGCACTGCATGACTGTTCAGAGAGACATCTGCTAACCTTAAAGCAAACATCTGAACTGAATTTGATTGAAGTTGCATCTTAAAGACATCCAGAAACATGCATTTAAGCCAAGCTGTCTTCATCTTGTCATCAGGTAGAAATTAAGACGTTATTTCAAAACAACATTAAAAAAATTTCAATGTTGATAATATTAAAGTGAATCAGCAGCATTGCAAAGAATTAAGACACTTTACAGATGAACTTATTATCCATTACTACAATTCTCCTTTATTTGAAAGTGATATCATGTAGCAACCTCATTCGTGTGGCTCCTTTTACTCAGCAGCTTGCATTTGGAGCGTTTAAAGTGCAGCAGCTGCCAGTATTAGAATCACATTAATATTTTAGCACAATTTAAAGGTCATATCAGTGTCTGCACCAACACATGTACCGTCCCTGTCATGGCAAATTAATTATAATGCAGAGGATCATCGATTGACTTAAAGCTGTGTCTCATTATTATCATTTCATGCTGATGTGTTCCAGGCTTTGGGATGGAGGCCACCCTGCTGCTGGTGGTGGGATACTCTCACACCAAAGGCGTCGCCATTTCGTTCTTGGTCCTCGCTGTGGGTTTCAGCGGGTTCGCCATCTCAGGTAGGTGATGTTACAAATGATCTGTTGTAAAGCTGGAATCTCTTAACAGCACGGAGATTACTGTTACTTCTAAAACTTGTCTTGAATGGTACAAAACTCTTATGCAACACTGAATGCTCATTTTTACACCTCAGCTCTTATACTGCAATCAGTCAAATCAGCAAATCAGCTACAGGCTCCAGCTTCATATTTCAAGCAGAGTTATTACACTGTGTGGTATCAATCGATATCCAAGTAAGCAAACAAGTGTTATTTCCCAACAGTATATCTCTCTCCTCATTGATTCCCTTCACTACTCTCAGAATCTTGGCTGGTTCTTCAGAAAGCTGTCTGGTTTTTCAAAGTGCAATTACCAACTCATGTAAATGACTAAAGATTCCTTAGGAATAGCATAAAGTAAAGCATAAGATTAGAGCTGCAAAAAAAACCAACTGTTTTCATTACTGATTAATCATTTAATCTGTAAAACATCAGAAAAAAGTATGAAATGTCCATCACAGCTTCCCAAATCCCAAGCTGGCATCTTACAATATGTTCTTCTGTCCAACCAACAGCTGAGAACCCACATTTTTTTAACAGATGATGGTGGAGAAGACTCAGAAATGCTGTAAATTCCTTCGTTCAACATTTTTGCTTAACAATTACCAAATCTTAATTTCAAAAAAAAAAAAAGGCTATCTATCTTGAAAATGATTCCTAAAGAATCTATTATTGCTGAAGTTCTTTTGACATTTATGGCACTTTAAAGAACCTCTTGCTCAATTTTTTTGTCGAACGAAAACGGATTCTTCTAGGATATCACTGCGAAGAGTCATTTTTGGTTCCAGTTGGCACCTTTATTTTTTGAGCATGTTGTACCAGTTGTGTTCTTTCTCTCAGGTTTTAATGTGAATCACTTGGATATCGCGCCTCGATACGCCAGCATACTGATGGGCATTTCAAACGGAGTGGGAACATTATCTGGGATGGTGTGTCCTCTCATCGTGGGGGCCATGACCAAACACAAGGTGATTTATTCCCTTTTTTTCAACTCAAAAATGCCACATATTGAAGTCAAATGTATATATTTATATCTAATTGGAGGTTTATTCTTGAACTCACCTATGTTTAAATGTTAAATCATTTCAGACCCGTGAGGAGTGGCAGGGTGTCTTCCTTATAGCTTCCCTTGTTCACTATGGAGGAGTGATTTTCTATGGTATGACTTTATGGTTTGGAGACGCATGTCTGCTCAGGAAATCTTCAGTCTCGATGCTGATCAGGTTTTGTTTTCTCACCAGGACTCTTTGCATCAGGTGAGAAGCAGGCGTGGGCAGATATAGAGGACACGAGTGAGGAGAAATGCGGTATAATTGATGAGGATGAACTGGCCAATGAGACGGAGGAGCTTTACCGTGGAGGTGGGCAGTATGGCGCCATGAGCCAGCAGGTGGTCGGGTCCAACGGAGGAGGAGGTGGAGGAGGAGGAGGAGGAGCCGGGGCAGGATGGGTGAACGACTGGGATAAGTCTGAGGAGTATGTGCAGCCGCCTGGATACAACTCCTACATGTATGGAGGAGAGGAGGAGAAGAAGCTGACATAGACGACCGACGTGACACAAAACACAACAAGATAAAGCAAAGAGGAAGATTGTTTATGGAGAGGGATTGTAGGAGAGTCACTGCTGTACTCAATGGACCTGCTGTGTGCATTTGTTCAACATTTACAGTTTGCACATGTCAAAAGTATGCATCTGATTCATTCCATCGTTTGTGTGTGTGTGTGTGTGTGTGTGTGTGTGTGTGTGTGTGGTGTGTGTGTGTGTGTTTGTGTGTAGGCACGTGCATGCAGGTGTTGGAAGTAATCATATACATGAACACATACAGTATTTATCTGCAATATCTCAACTTATCTCCCAGACTTCCTTCCTGCTCCTGAGCTCGTTGTGATTGGTCAGGAGTTCTGTTTCCACAATGTCACTGAGGAGATTGTGTGTCTGTGTGTGTGTGTGTCTGTGTGTGTGTGTGTGTGTAGTGGACTTTTGCCTGAACAGCAACTTGCAACTCAAGCCACTGGCATTGTGTTGTATTTAAATTTTTATGTGCGAGCCAAGTGAGTGCTTTTTTTTTTTTTTTTTTCGCAGGTTTGGAGCTTCAGTTTTAACACTTAGACACTCCGACTGAGCAGAAATCATATTGATCATCTGATAACTTGTGTGTTTTTTATGTGTGTAGCCACTTGATGCAAGAGAAGAGAGCGTGTGCATCATTAGTTTGTTTGCATGTGGTGGTCAGAACGGGCTCATTTATGTCATGAGAGTCAATCATGTGAGGGGAAAAAAGATGCTTAAATGTTGTACCAGTCTTTTGTTCAGGCAACGTCTCTTTCATGTGAGTGTGCAAAGGCGTGTGATTGACTCTGAACATAAAGCTGCATGTGGCGTCTCGCTGAATCTCACCTGGGTCTGACCGAACAGGGTCACGTTTAGCCAGAATTATGGGCCACAACACGCCCATCATGAGTGATCATCTGACACTTGTGACTTCCCTCTTGGTGTCCCATCAGAGAGGTGGCCCAGAACGACAAGCAGAGTGTGACAGTTGCTTTGCTGAACAATAGTTGTCATATTCCCAGGCCTCACAGCACAAGTTGGTCCGTTCATGCCTTTTTCTGTGTTTCTGTAGCTGCCTCTACTTCTCTGTCTTTCAGCCCCGTTGCTGCTGTTTCCGTGTCTTCAGTAGCTAGACAAAATGTCAGTCCTGTTGCAGTTGGTGGGTCGGAGCTTTTCAGACTTTCTGTGTGCGTGTGTGTGACAGCACGTGCACCACTGTGTTGGGTGCAGGTGCTGAAACATTGTGCGGTGAGCATGTTTTAATGAGCACAGCGGCGCAGTAGCTCGCCAGCCCTCTCTTTCTTTAACACAAAAACACACAAGTGCACCGTGCACAGTGTGCAGAGGGAGCAGTGACACACAATTTGGTATTTATGTGGTTGTAATGGTGAAGGGCACCCGCGGTGCACATGGGTGGGATTAGCAAGAATTTCTTCTAAGATATTTTCAGAGGATGTTTTAAGTTTTTGTAAGAATCATGGCCAATCACATCAGCTCCTTTATGCACTGGCAACTGGGAAATTGAGTTTTTCTCAAGAGAAAGTGAGAGAACACTCAAAAAGGAGAAGATGTGTTGTATTGTGAAAGCTGCACAGTGCAACTCTTTACACCTGCACATACACTACACAGAGCCAACAGACTCCAACATGAAACATGTGCATGCACACACACACACACACACACACACACACATACACACACATACACACACACAACTCCTGCATTGCGCATCTACTCACAGGTCATGCTGACACACAGTCATTTATTTTTAACTTTAAAAGGACATTTACAGATGGCTCTCTTTCAGATCACATTTGTGAGAAGACATTCACTGCTGGAATGTTTAAGGGATGTATTTGATCCAAATGAGGGTTTAAAGGTAAAATGTGTCAAAGTATTTTTAAAAAAGTGAATAAGGCAAATTACCAGTTTGTGTTGAGTGAAATGTCTTAAAGACATGAATGATTATTCCTGTGAACAATTTCATTTTTAAGTGTTGTATCAGTGTATCGTTAATCAAGTTTCTTCTTTGTCTCAGTTTATGGCTGTTCCAATGTTGTCCTCCTCCCTCTTGATGAAATGTGTGGTTACCTGCTGGGAATCAGTGTAAAAAAAAACTTTAAAAAAAGGAAACGATCTTATTAAACATGCAAATATGTGGAAAATATTTTATGTATAAAAAATGTACATGTGAGATAATCTTGTGTAAAATAAAATTTAAGCAATTTAAGATAATGTCACTATTTCAGCACAATCATGTCATCAGGATTTGTCACCTACAGCACGATGACGCATTAAATTAGTGTTGAATGCTTTTTTACATCATGAGCGCAATGTCAGTTCTTTGTCTTTCTCTCAGGACAGATGGATGCGGGATTATCTCTGTGATTTTAGGCAAAGATTAGATAGGAGAGCAGATGCACTCAGTGGGAGAGTGAGGGCGAAACATGGACGTCACAGACAACGGAAGTGAGGATGATGGACCAGAGGGTGGAGCATCACGTCTGTAGTGTCCGTGTGTGTCCAATGTAGTGCAGGTTCCTGTAACGCTCGTGATCTATATTTGACTACTCTCCAAAAGCACGTGTGGCATTAAATCAGTCGTATGAAAAGAAATGTAATTAATTTATCATCACATTCTGTTTCATTGGGAACTTAAATGAAGTCCTTGTGGATTTCCATAATCGTGCCATCATAATAATTTCTGTTCATATATATCATCAGTTTGGTATTTTTTTAAAGAATTCACCAAAAATGTAGTTTGTATTGATGCAACTTTGCAGGTTTAAAGCGGTTTTGCAGCAGTGAATTGACTTTATTGGACCATGAATCTGCAATATCTATTGTTGGCCAGCAGGGGCAGAAAAAAAAAACTCTCTTGGAAGGCTGAAGCTAACTTTAATCAATCAAAATCAATCTTGTTAACATGTCCGTATGGTGTTTGTTTGATGTTAGAGGACACATCAGGAGCAAAATGAGCCCTGGTTGAGCAGCTTCACCTTGAAACCACCAATGACAGTCTCAGAAACACAGATTCAGACTTTCTGGGTTTCATACATAAACTGTTAACTTGTCTGTCAATTTTCTTCTTCAGAATCAAAAATGGAAAGCTGATCGACAGTGTTTGCAGTGTTTAAGCCTTTTTAACAGAGTCAAAGGTGAGCTGGTGTGCTCGGGCTGCAGCAAACAGCGGACGGATGGATGGGAAAGGAGGTAGAATTCATAGATCTGCACAGTCTGGAGGAAGCAACGGCGTAGCATTACAGCTATGCTATTTCAAGGCAATAAGGAATTATTTTTATGGAAAGAAAAACTCTAAATATGTAGTTTTGATACACAGAGATGAGTTTTTAGAGGTTTAATCAATCAAGAGGGGCTTTAATGAAACTTTAGACTCCATAGTGTGTTCAGTTATTCAATCCCTTGTGATAAGTTCTAGCTCTTTTCGACAAGAACATTTTAAATGTTTTATTCTACAATTTAGGACTATACCGGCTGAAAAAGACAGAGTTGTTTGGGCTGACAAATTGGAAAAAACTAAAAGACAGGCATAGAGGATAGAATAAAATAACATCATTGGCTAACTTTTTAAACACTCCTCCAGTGAAAACCAAGTTTTTCACCTTGTGAACAATCCATTATCTACACTGCTTAATCCTCACTAGGGTCACGGGGGGGCTGGAATCCATCCCAGCTGGGTGAAGGCAGGTTCACCTGGACAGGTAACCAGTCTATCACAGGGCTACACTTAGAGACAGACAACCAAGCACACTCACATTCAGTTTTAATTTATACGAGTAACAAATCATGTCTGATACAGTACAGTAAAGTAATACCTGAGCTCTTCCTCCTTGAAACTGCACTAATTAGATTTTTTGACTGCCGTGATTTAAATTTTACAATGTCAGAATTTTAAGTTTTGAATGTTATTGTTGGAATTTTAGAATGTTGTCGTTTGAATTCTAGAATGTTATGATTTGAATTTGAATAGGTCATGAATATGAATATGATCATACATTTCTAAATCAGCTCAGACGAATGGATTGATCAAGACAGAAGAAAAACATTATAATACTGATGATTGTTTAAGATTTAAATGTAGGGTTGTAGTTCACCAAAATGACCACCAGAGGCCAGTGAAAACCTTCCTTTTTAAGCCTTGTATGTATTTAAATACAGCCAGATCTGTTATAAAACTGTGGAAGTATTAAGTAGATCCTCTGTGTTATCAAGTTAAAAATAAGACACTTCTGTGGAAATATAAAATAAATAGAAGACACTGGTAAGTAGAGGATTTACGCAGATTGCATTAACTGTTGAGTTGTTCTACTGGAGTAGAGAACTTGTTGAAACTGTTAATACTGATGAAATTAGTGCTTAAATAGTTCATCTGCCAGTGAAGTTGAGAAGAACCATCTGCAAGAGAAGGAAGACTGCCTGAGAAGCCACGCCCAATTAGGGCTATACCTATTCATGATTGGACAGATTCGCCGACTGTGGGCGGGGATCTTAAGCAAAAAGTCCGCTGTAATTGGACTACGAGGACGTCTGTCAAAATGTCGCCGTTTGATTGGTTGTTTGACGAGGGGATTAACGTGAAAACGCTCTGCTTACAATGAATCACAATGGAGACTAAGTAGGAACTCGCACGAATTCGGTCTTTTAATTTATTTATGACAGAAAGTTATATTTTTACTAGTAGCCTCGCAAATCCGTAGCTCCTATTTTAACTCGTAATTCTTAATCAGGAGAACAAGTTGCGGACTGATCCTGAAGTCTTTCTACAAGTGTTTTGAACAAGGAAATCGTCTCCGGCTAGCGTTATGTAGCAAGCTAATCTCATTTATCTCATTTAGAAACTCCGCTATCGTCTCTCAGTGTTATAAATCCTACACACAGGTGAGTAAACCTGAACAGTTTTTACCTTCAACACTCGTTCACATCGACTCAGCAACAATAAGTCAGACTTTACGAACGTAAAAACAAGTAACGGATAAATCTGGGTCAGTGTCTTCGCCATGTCAGCTCAGGGAGGAGAGGGCAAATGGGTATTTCTGTCCATGTCCAGGTGATATTTGGGGATTCTGGGTTGAATTAAGTCACTTTTTCGTTTGTTTGTTTTTTTTATAACAGCGTCCACCTGTTGGCAGGCATGACCGAGTACAAACTTGTGGTGGTCGGGGCAGGAGGCGTGGGGAAGAGCGCTCTCACCATCCAGCTCATCCAGAACCACTTTGTGGATGAATATGATCCAACCATCGAGGTGAGAAACCACACGTCAGACACCAGAAAAACACACACACACAACACTGCGTGGTGAGTTTCACGTGAATCAGGTTTTAAGCATTTCTAAAACGACCCTGATAGTTGACATGAAACGTAGTTTATGATGTTGTGCCATCAATAATTCAGACAAATAAAGAATTGCTCTGATTCTTGTTTTACTTTTACAATATGTTATTTATTATTATTTGCGGGAGACAAATATGTGTTTTGTGTCAGATATATTTATCCATTTTATAAGATTCTCCTAATTCCAGCCTCTAATATTTGAATGTTTCCTGATTTCTTTCCCCATCTATGACACAAGCTGAATAACTTTGGGTTGTGGGCAACACAAGATATTTTAGGATCTTGTTTCAGGCTTTGAGAAACAGTGACGCTCTTTAGAGCCACCTTTAAATATGGCAACACCTCTCTAATATCAAGACACATATTAGTGCACCTTTGATTGGATTGGTGGATTGGGTGTTACTTGAATGATTCACATGGTTTTTATATGTAGTATAACCACAGGCGAGGTGTGTTTTAATCATTTTCATCGTCTATCATCCACATTTCAGTACCTCAGCCGAGAGTGAGGGATTATTTTCAGCTTGATGTAAAATGTGTCAGCAAAAAAAAAAACCCCAACAACAAAAGAAACTCCAGCATGTTGCAATATTACACATTTACTTGTGGTGTAAGAAGATGAAAATGATTAAAACACACCACACCTGGTGGTTAAACTACATATAAAAAAAACCTTGTAACGTAACACCTAATCCGTCAATCCAGTCAAATGTGTGTGATGTGGCTTGACATTAGAAAGGTGTCGTCATATTTAAAGGTGACTCTAAAGAACGTCGGTAATCTAGAGGTTTTTATTATGATTTGAATCTTAGAATGTTATGATTTGAATTTTAGAATGTTTTGATTTCAATCTTAGAATGCTTTGATTTAAATCTTGGGACGTCATTATAACCAGTATCTGCTACCAATGTGGCGTGAAGTAAATAACAGAAATGGACCAGATTCTAGCAGGAAACCAGTACGAGGACTTTTAAATAGGTGTGGTGAGTGATTTCTTTCTGGTCTTAGTTCAGAGTTCTCACTCAGCTGTAACTGATTCTTAACTTTTTTTTGATAGACCTTAACAAGGCTGATTTATTTATTTATTTATTTATTTTCAGCTTGCTAGAAAATACGTTGGCAAAAAAAAAGGCATTTTGCAGTATTGCATTGTTACTTATGGTTTGGTATAATGTAAGGCTTTTGTTTTAATTTTATTTTTTGATATCATAAAAGGGGGAACTAGGAGCATGAGAAACAAACTTCCCTGTAAGATTGAGTGTGACTTTATAGTTTGGCTATTGTCTTTGGAAGGCATTAGTTCCCTATAGTTGATTGCAATAAATAGCTCTGACAGACTCTTGCTCTTTGTGAATGTACTTTTTGTAGAATTTCCACAACAGATTTAAAAACCCGATTAATCAAGAAAATAATCAATATTGAACATAACAGTTGAGTTGCAGCCCTATGTGTTGAGCAGATGTTTCATTAATGTATTTTTTCGTGTCTTAAAAGTCCACGTGGCCTTTTTTGTTTGTCACAATAAAATACTTAAGAAAATTAGCAATATAGAATGCGAAAATACTTTTATTTTATTTTATTATTTACAAAAGAAATATAAGAAATTCCTCAGTGCAGATCAGCATATCACTGATCAAATATGTCTTTATGTAAAATCTTTATGTGCACAGGAAAAAGCAATTATACCTGTCAAGCTATAATTATATATAATTACAGCAGTTATTATTGGCTTCAAATAATTGTCACTAGTAAATCTAAATTACACTGCTAACTCTGCTGTATCTCGTTTCTCACACTTCTCTCCACACGCTCGCAACAAACTGGTTGTAAAATCTCTTCCCAGACTTTGTTAAACATGTCCCGCTCTGAGTTTTCTATAATTCCATAGCTGCTTAAAAATATTCAGGTTTCAGCAAGTTCATCACAAAGCCGTACTTTCATCAAGTTCTTGTTGCGACATGACGCAGCAGTGTGACTGTCAGAAAAAGCATGAGAATCAATATGATGCAATCCAGTCTTGGCAGATGCATTTGGTTTTTGTATGTGTGATCATACTGATGCTGTGTTGCAGGACTCGTACAGAAAGCAGGTTGTGATTGATGGAGAGACGTGTCTGTTGGACATCCTGGACACTGCAGGTCAGGAGGAGTACAGCGCCATGAGGGACCAGTACATGAGGACTGGGGAGGGCTTCCTCTGTGTGTTTGCCATCAACAACACAAAGTCCTTTGAGGACGTTCACCTTTACAGGTACAAAACAGACTATTGTCTCTGGAATGAAGCACAGCTGGAGCAAGAAGTTACATCAGTCCTGTCAAAGGAGGACGAGTTGTCTACTTTAACTACACGTGTTTGGCAGTCGTGTGCACTGTGCAGGTTCAGACAGTGTAGCACAATAAAGGTTATTTCCTGATCAGCCGGAACTGCACTCAGTTATCTGGAACACACATCTACAGATATACTATGTGTGGTTTTATGTTTAGTCAGGTCATTTGTACATTTCGCAACTGATCCACTTACATAAAGCAATTTTGAAAAAGATAAAATCATGAGTGTTGCAAAGATAGCTTCCAAAGATTTATCTGATTGAAGTGTGCAAGAAACACTGGCTGAATTATTCTTTCTACAACTTACATGCTCGTCAAAGCTCGGTTCTTGTCTGACCTCTTAAGAATTTGAATGCAAGCATGGCCTCCTGATGGCAGGTGATGCAGCCAGTCTAGATTGCCGTAACACGCTGTTAAAAAAAGCAGGGCAGCCTCCGATTCTTAGGTTTTTCTGCATGCGTCTCCTCCTCAGAGAGCAGATCAACAGGGTGAAGGACAGTGACAGCGTTCCCATGGTGCTAGTGGGGAACAAGAGCGACCTGAGCACCCGCACGGTGGAGACCCGGCAGGCGCAGGAGCTCGCCCGAAGCTTTGGAGTGCCGTTTGTTGAGACCTCTGCCAAAACCAGACAGGTATGTGCATCCCTACGGTCCCGATCAAGTTTTTTTTTTTTTTTTTTTGCCCCCTAAACCGTACATCATTCCCTATTTCCCAACTGCTTCCACAGCCTGCATCAGTTGTTTGCAAGAAATATCAGTACATGATCAGTACAAACTGTGCTAAATATACACTATCAGTTAGTAAGTTATTGAATTATGTCGCTGTGCATGTGCAGACATTTCAAACTTTTCATGTGCATCTTGCAGGGTGTGGAAGAAGCTTTCTATTCACTGGTGCGGGAGATCAGAAGATACAAGGAGACCAACCGCAGCAACAAGAAGAGCAAGAAGAACCCTCAAAGACGTTGCACGATCCTATAGCAAACCACACATCGCTCAGAGCACTAGTTTCACACGCCGCCTGTTCTCCGTCACCTTGGAGACGTCCAGCACAGCTCCGGACGGGGAAGCAGACGTGACAAGATCACTTTTTATTGCTGTGACTGTTTCCACTTACAGTTTGTTGCCACAAGATTCATCCATGTGCAGTGTCCATTAAACACTGTGAATTTCAGGGTTTTTCCAGGCTCATACTGGGGCCTTGTGGGGGGTGACTACAAATGACAGTAAGACCAGTACAGTCAAGGCAAAAATCTAATCCTGTATCTGTTGTTTCTAACCAGTTCATAAACACAAATGTCCATCATGCTTTAGTAAACAAAATCCCAGTTAACAAAACAGATTTTAGAAAGTGTGCCTAAAACCATGGCGATAATCTATGTAGGTATTAACTGTATTTTTATTTTTTTTAGTTTTGGCTACCAAACAACACATTTTTTCCATGATAGTTTTAACTCTAAATTGTGTTGCCATAGTTTCCAGCTCCTGTTGACTATTTAGAGGTCAGGGGTTCAGAAATTCATCGCTGCACTTTGCTCTGTCTCATCAGGTGAAGACCATGAATTATTTTAGGACACACTTTCACGACACTTTTTAAAAAAAAATTACTTTTGGCGACAGGGATTTATTTGACATTACTAGAAGAGTGTCCAAATAAATGTTTTTTTTTTCCCTTAATAGGATTGGTCAAAACAGAAGTTTAAAGAAAGCATGTTGTGTTTTGTTTTTTGTGGGTTTTTTTCCCATCGGAAAGTGTAGCTACTGGGGCTCGGAAAACAGCAATATCTACTTTTTATTGTACTTACCAAGACTACATGTGAATGAAAATGCTGTCATAGCATAGGATCACCACAGAAACAATAGCTCAAGGCTGTGTTCCAGACTCCTGGTCGCACTTTATTCTTTTCCTCATTATGTGTTCGTTATAGAAGTTAGAATTTATCTAGTGCCACTTTAAAAGTTTACTCAGGAATATGGTGTTTAATCAGGCGCTGATTAAGAACAGACTGATCAGTTGAGATCTGATGCCTCCGCTCATCATTTTCACACCATCGTCAACTTGTTGTTTGAAGTGCCGGCTCTGCTGTTGGTCCCTCACAGTCGCACTGTATTCCAAAGTCCACTTTTAATGCAGTTTTTTTTTTTTTTTTGGTCCAGTTCCAGTGCTGGTGGTTGTAGCTGTAGGTCAAAGCGCTGTTTATGTTACAGCATGTAGTCGGTGGAAATATCCATGTGGTACTACACACAACATTAAAACCACTGTTTTACTCAGCGGCACATAACTGTCATGCTATCTGATCATACTTGATGCTGGATGATAAGGATGTAAACAAGGCAACAACTTTTTATAGCAGTGCTCAACATCTTCCATACCGTCGCCCTACGTGTGTTGATGGATGATTCATTTTCTATTTTTGTAAAACTGCAAACATTATCTCCCGATTTTAAAACCAACGTCTGCATTAATGAAATGCTGTCTGCGATAAATTACTAAAACTATATCAAAGTTCGATGATCAGCTCAGTTGCATCCTGCTAACAGTGAAGCCATCCATGTTTCTTTGCTACGGTGTCAACCAGCTGTATCCTTATCTGGACTTCATGTAATGCCATTGTTGAAAATGGAGTTACTGCATTTGATATGAACAAGTCTCACTGACAGCTATGTAAAATCTGCATTGCACTCTGCTGTAATGAACAAGTAAACCACATTTTTAGCATTTACATCTTGTCTGTTTTGTTTATCCAGGGTGGATTTTTGCTAGTAAGTGGCTTTCAAGAGGATGAAAAGTATGCTACAGAGAATTTATACCAGACCTGATTTGTGACCTCTCAGTGTTTACCGCATCTTTCAAAAACGTCTCTTCTTCGTTTGCACCATCAAAGGATAAGGATGAATAGTGCTTTTTTTGAGGCACTAAATCAGACGAGAGTAAGAGTTGTGGTTTACGATGCGGAAGAGGAAGATAATCAAGTTCCTCCTTTCGTTTCCGTGAGCGTATACACTCTCACTTTGATATCAAACTAAGATGAGGATGTATAAAAGTGTACAGATGAACTGGCAGGTTAGTACACTGTAAACTCGAGTGTCATTCTAACTGTGATTTTTTTTTTTTTCAGTTCATAAGTAATGACCATACTTGACATCTCAAAAGAATAGTTTGCTTTTGATTTTATTTTACAAAAAAAAAAAGACACTACTTAGTGACATTTTATTCAATAATAGAAAATGTAGAAATAGTGTGTGATATGTATGCATTTTTACAAGAACATAAAAAAAATGAGGAAATAAAGGGAGAGGATGAATGTCCAAGTTCATGTGAGATGAGGCACATAAACTGTCAGTATGTGCGTTCCTCTCACCATCCAAAACGAGAAACCAGTTTGCTCTGGTCATCCAAATCCTTCTGAACCTTCTTCCTCATGTAGAAGATGGGACAATCCCGGCTGCAGAGGAGAGAGAAGGAACCATGTCACCAGAGTTCTGCAGCAAATGAACTGGCTATGGTTCTGATAATAAACACAAGTGAAAAATTAAAGGAAAGTCCTGAATCTTTAACTGTGTGGGGGCATTTTGCTGACAGTGGTCTCCTCCACCATCATCAACACATGAAACAAGGTAATGTCTTTTGAAAGATGATGTTCATCCATTCATGAGTCTCAGAGATTCTGGGAATCACTGCCAAGGTACACTGAAGCTGCTGTGGCAGTACAACACCTTACTAAGACAATGTATGTTGTTTTTTCCTTTAATCTGTCTCCCATTTGTATGTACCTGGTACAGAGCACATCCTCGTGAAGGGAGCCTTGACAGCGCTGACACTGAGTCCACAGGCGAGAGAAACGCTCCTCCAGTGCGTTCAGGTGGAAAATCTGTAATGAACAACCTGAATTTTAGCAACTCATGAGACATGAGAGAAAAAAAAAAGTGTTTTCCAATATTAACCTTTTACAAAAGTCTTTTTAAAAAAAAGGTGCTTTTTAGTGACAGACAATTTGGAAAATTACAACTGAAGCAGCACACTGGTGTTCAGCATTCCTAAAAATGTAATTTATGAAACAGTCATTCTGATGTAAGTCAATGCACCTACATACTTTTGTTTTTAAATTCTCTGAAGAGCCACTAGAGGGCAACACAGTGATAAACACTAGACAGTCTTCTCTTCAAACAGTCAAAACAAATATTCAACTGAACCCATCCCAGTCAATGAAGAAAACCAGCATATTAAAATAATACACAGCAGCACTCGTACCTCTTTCTGGTACAGTTCAGACTCCTTCTTCTTACAGAAATCACACACAGCCGCTGCAATGACACACATTAGAAGTTATGTGTAAAATCCCAACTAAATGTCCTGCTGTATGTACAGGAATAATTATAGGTCAGACCTAAGCAGAGAAATCAAGTTTTTTTTTTTCAAAAGCATCACCTTAAACATCAAAGTAGAGAAAAAAAAGAGGCATACACACCATCAGTTTTGAGCACAGCTTTGCAGCCGATGCAGGTGCTTCTCTTCTGAGCAAACGCCATGAGGCCTCCAATCTTTGAGGTCAACACCGTCTTGCAGCGCGTGTGGTCGCCCTCTGAAAGACACAAAAAACACGGCAGCATTTAGATCTACAAATAACATACAGCACATCTCTCTGCTTACTTGACTAAAAGGTTTTAATAAGATTATGCTTTATAATGGCTCCTGTATTACCACATTACTGTTACTTATTTTACTAATATGTAAATAAGCCACTGAGGAGTACAGCATGTTCGTGAGCGTTGACTTACTGAGCAGGACACTCTCAGCTTTGCTCTCTCCCAGGATGGGCTCAAATATTCTCAGCAGGGGTTTGGACAGCTGCTGCTCCAGGTAGTATTGTGTGTCGATGGGAATGTTGTTCTCCAGCACATAGATGGGGTCCTAGAACAACATGTGGAAGAATCAGGATCATCATCAGGACTGAATATGTTTGATAAGGAGAAAGGGGATGTACTGAAAGAACAAGCGTACACATTAACCTTCTGAGCTGTTTGAAAAGCATGTTGTGTTAAAAACAAACAAAAACATGATGATTTATCAGAGCAAGGCACTCTGAAAGCAGAAAGCCAGAAAAGGAAAAAAAAAACACTCAGGTTTAAATTTTAGTATTTCATCAAAATCATTTTATTAAATGAAATGAAAAATACTTTATTTATCCCAGAAGGGAAATTCAATAAAAGACATCTAATTCATAAATGTGCCAAAAATAAATATTAGTTTAGACCAGATTCGGTAGAAAACAGAAATTTCTGCACTCCACAATGTAACCAACTAGTCAAAACAACAATTCAGGGACTACTTGGCTGAGCTTCAGGTCGTGTTTACACAGAAGGCAGATTGTAGATGAGCATGGAAACCGAGGGCAGGTTGTAAAAGTATCTTTAGTGTGTAGAGTCACTATTGTTTTTCCAGTATGAGGTACACCTGTGGGCACTTGTACAAATCCATCCATCCATTATCTATACACCGCTTAATCCTCATTAGGGTCGCGGGGGGGCTGGAACCTATCCCAGCCGACTTAGGGCGAAGGCAGGGGACACCCTGGACAGGTAACCAGTCCATCACAGGGCCACACTTAGAGACAGACAACCAAGCACACTCACATTCACACCTACGGACAATTTAGAATCACCGATTAACCTCAACATGTTTTTTGGACTGTGTGGGAGGAAGCCGGAGAACCCGGAGAGAACCCACGCTGCACGGGGAGAACATGCAAACTCCACGCAGAAAGATTCCGGTGCCCCCACCGGGACGCGAACCGGCAACCTTCTTGCTGCGAGGCACTTGTACAAATGCTGTACATATTTTTGTTTCTGTAAAATAAATAATCAAAGAAATTCAGTATTTATTTTTTCTGGTTATATGATTCATGCATTACAACTCTGTCACACTGCACAAAGGACATTTTGAAGTTCTCTCTACTTCTAGACACAGATGGCTATATCCACAGAGGTGAAGAACATAATATTGTTGTAAAAATTAGCCCACAGTGAGCAAAAAAGCTGCTGTGGTTTCAGAGGGTTAATAAACAATCAAAGATGAAGCTACACACCTCAGACTTCATGTATGCTGCGGCTCCTTTAGCAGCCTTGATGATGACGTATGGAACTCGGTCTCCAAGATTCGGGGCGCTACCTGCATCCCTTTTCCTCATCCTGTGAAACACGAAAGGGAGAATTTCACACACACTTTCACTGATATTCAAAACAACACGACTTGTGACTAGTTAGAGATGAACCGGACCTTTCTGCCAGCTCCACGTGCGCCTGTTTGCCAGCGTACTCCTGGGCGGTTCGCGTTAGCTCCTTAGTGATGACCAGCTGGCTGATGTCGATGCGATTGCACAGCAGGTCTGAAATCACTTCTTTGGCGTGATCCACAGCACCCTGGGGATCCCTGAAGGCACATCACATCAAGTATGGTTAGTTTTGGTTAGATGAAAAGTCTGAAAATAGTTGTAATTGTTAATTATGGAGTTCTATTCAGTATGTTTCCAAAAATGAATCGATGATGCATTAAGCATGTGTACCTGTCTATGAGGATTTTCTGCAGGCAGGTGTTGATCAGGTTCGCCACCAGAGGGCAGTTGTCTCTCCGGACAGTCTCAATGCCTTTACAGTCCATCTTGTCATGTGTGTCTGCGCTGGAGGAGAAATAAAGGCCTGCGTAGCGCTTCTTATTGATCAGCAGGTATGGATAGTACACCTGGGGAGGGGACAAAAATGAGCATTTATTAGCGTAGCTCTCCTGTGAGCTGCTGCAGTTTGAGATGGTGGCCTGATTCTCAGTGCACACTTCAGCAAAGACTGCAATCAGTCATATGAAGTAATTACATTTGTGTAGTATAAAAACCGTTATATAGAGTAAAATATGCACAGTACAAACAACAAGCAATACAGATACAAGATGCTGGCAATAAATCGGTGTTGTGTATTTAATAAAGCCTTTTGGAAAAGAAGCTATTTAAAAGATGTTCTGGATTCAGAGAGCTTTAGCTCTTCACGGAGTTCCAGAGCTGTGGGGAGCCTGACTAGAAAGCCAGTTCAGCTTTAGACTTGAACCGAGAACAGCCATTAGATCCCCGCCTGAGGATCTGAGAGGGCACTGTGGCTATTAGGATGGCGGCAGGAGCAGCTGGAAACTAACCCATGAAACCCTTTGAAATCTTAAAAAGCAAAGCAAAACTGCCTGGGAATCAGAGAGGACAACCTAACCATCTGAATTATACAAAATGCTAGCTGTCTGAACAAAAACATTTTTAAGCATTTTTCAACAAAACATTTTAGGAGCAGTTTTGCTGCTAATGACAGGCTAGAAAACAGTTTGTGTCATTTTTAAGGAAACTATCCACAATACTTCCTGAGTATTATTTAATCCAGCATCCAAACTCTCAACATGACGTCTTTTCGTGGTCTCATGAAACAATCACTCTCAGATCTTTTCATCTTCAGAAGGTATTCAAGTAAAAACATTCTCCCCTGACCTGATTAGGTTGCATGTAATGTACACTGTGACTGGATATTAACAATTTTAAATAGGAAAAGTATCACATAAGTGAATATATCACGTGGATAAACAGGGCCCAACAATGCCAGGGCTGTGAAAACTAAAACTTTATAATACTGACTAGTCAGTGGATTTACTAGAAACCAATAGGCAAGCTCATGGACCTCGAGTTAAGACAGATTTTTTTTTAAAGCTGAAATGTCAGTTATTGGGAAATTATTGTTCTGCCTGTAATAATAATTAGCCAACCATACTTGATAGTGTCACGTGAAATCCTAATATCAATTCATCACATGTTATACATACATTACGCTTCCATTAGTGTGTAGTTTCTGTAAGAAGGAGAAAAAAGCACCCTAATATTTCTCGTTAACAGGGCCACAACTCTATGGCATCTCCAAAAGAAATGGACTGAAATGATACCTTCTCAAACTCCAGTTTGATGGGTGGTGTGAAATGGGACGACACCCACTCGGCTGCCTCCCTCCCAATTTCCATCGCCTCACTGACTGTTGCAACTCCAAGTTTAACCATGACAGAGTCTGTGTCTCCATAAATCACCTTAACACATAAAAAAATAAATTAAACACATAAACACACCAGCATTTAAATGACAAAGGTGAACAAATCTAATTGACCAACTATGATGACGTGTATCCCTCACCTTGGCATCACCTTGGTAGCCGTTGGATAGAGTGTATTTGGACTCCACCAACTGTTTGGTTGTCTCAATCATCTGTCTTCCAAAACCAGTGACACTCTGGAAGAGACAAAAGAAAGATTTTTTTAAATATATATATCTGTAATGTTGGAATTCAATGCAAACAGTTAATTAACATCCCAGTTCACCTCACTTCTTGAGTTAACACCAAATAAGGTGCAATTACTTGGTGCAACACTACGTTTTATGCGCAATAACACACCACTATCACATGATATATTACACTTGTTTTCTTAGGAAAAGCACATTTTACAGTTATGCTGATACTGTCTACTTATATTTATATTTCAGGACACATTTGTTTATATTTTTAGTTCATATTTTGTACTGATATTTATCTATATATTTTGTACTCTTTATATTTCTGAGCAAATTGTTCAGTGACATTACAGCTCGCGAGTTTTACCAACTGCCAAAAATAATATATACCAGCCACCCTCTGCACACTGTCATCATCGCCCAGAGGAGCAAGTTCAGCGACAGGCTGCTCCTCCCCAGGTGCAAAACCACAAGGACCAAAAACTCCTTTGTCCCCCGAGCCATCAAACTGTTCAACTCTGAGCTCAGGGGGAGGGGGAGGAGCAGCAAATGGGGAGAGGTAGGGGGCGAGGGGTGAGGAGTGAGGACATTGGGGTGAGACAGAGCATCATACTCTATCACCAGACTGTGTGCAATATGTTACTGTATCTGTATATTGTATACTGTAATGTTATTATTATCATTATTGTTATTATTGTTGCTGATTTTGAATAATTTGGATTTTGAATTTGAATGCTGATTTGGATTTTGAATTTTGAATGCTATTGTTGTTGCTGATTTAATGTTGGTGTTGTGGTGTTGTTTTTTTTTTCTAGTGTAGCAATTACCCTGAGGTCTTGTACCGAAGGGATCAATAAAGTTTTATTCTAATTTTAATTCTAATTCTATGGAGAATTGCCAACAACAAAACAGCAGGAAATAGCTTGTTTTAGTTAGCTCACTTTTAAACATACAGTAAGTCTTTCTTTGTAACTGTTTTTTATTTCTTGCTCCACCAGTTCTGTGGTTTCTATTGCAGCTCTAATCTTTGCTCTACATCTTTGTTTTGTTTTTTACCGTTTATGCTCTGACTTCACACCTGTGCCCAACAGTAGGAAAAGTGTCGGTAAGTCAATGAGAACAACTCAGTGCAGGCAGAGAACTGTGAAGACTTCTATGGAGTTAAAGTACAACAGTGCAACCTGTCAGTCTCCATTTAGGGACCACAAAGTAAACTGCTCACCTGTGAGATCTCTAAGCAGGGCAGCTTCCCCACCTGGGCACCGGTGAAGCCATACACAGAGTTTGCACTGATTTTCAGGGCCAGCTGTCGGCCGTCCAGCACCTGCTTCTTGAAAGGGTCCGTTTCCTTCTTCAGCTCTGCTTTGGCCCTGTGGACAGACGGTGAGACAATCTCAGAAGGACTGGCTGATGAATGTGCACACCAGGGACATGCATAGCTGCTGTACATAATCTAAAGGGTCACAAAAAGCTCTAATACCGAGTCTTGATTTTGGTACACACCTGTTTTATTTATTTATTTTTGGTGCATATGTTAAGAGGAAACTAAACTCAAGTTCTGAGTCCACAGATCAATAAATTTGGACTATTTCCAACTCCGAATTGTAAAGTGTCACTTCAGTTCACAGAGTTTATGTGATTTATTTGCAGGAATTCAAACCTCTTTCGGGCAGAAAGAAGGTTCTCCAGGATCTCCGGAAGCAGCCCTTTCCTCATCGAGCTCTTCACAAATCGATCACCTGTGGGAGTCTTGATGAAGTCGTCTGGTGACAAGCTGAGGACACACAATGATTTAAAGCATTAATTCATTAGTCACTCAAATGAACAATACCCTCATATAGAGTACAACATCACAGGAATATTAACACTGTAAACTATTAGACATTTTCAACAACTAGAAATTCTTACTTGATTAATGAGTAATTGCCTTAAACTAGCTGAAGTTGCACATGTTGCTGATGACGTGCAACTGTTTGGCTTTTCCACTCTGATTACAGAGATAGTCAAGAAAGAACAAGTTTACATACATAAACACTGATAAAAAATCTCTTAACTGGCAGCGCAGGAGTCCATAAATGAATCCATACAAGTTTACACAAAACACAGTGTTATCAATAGGGACATTGTTCTTTTTAAATCTTGTATAACGTACATTTTTGAATTTAACATAACACATTTCAAAATAAAAGAAAAAGGGTTTTGATGTTCATATCCACAGAGGTGTTTTGAGGCCACTATTGACAATCAAAATAAGTTGGGTGGCTAAAATTACGCACGTAGAAAACCAGAATAAGTTCTAGAAACTAATGGTGTGAAAGTGGTATCATGTAAACAGCCACAAAATGTAGTTTTTCCTACATATTTAATGAAACACACAACTTTCAAGCTGTTTCTGTGACATCATAACACACACTCACCCCAGTTTCTCCACTGAGCCTTTCTGCAGCAACGTGGTGTAGCACAGATTGTGAGCCATCATGATGGACGGATACAAGGAAGAGAAATCCAGGGTGGCGATGGGAACGCTGTAATATCTGCACAGTGAAGAAAGTGGGGTGGAAATATAAATAAGAAGGATGAACCTTCCACATAACGGGAGCAATGGAGTTTTGCACTAACACAAACGAATATACTGTAGTTAACTTACCCTTTCTCTGGCTCAATGACAGTTGCCCCGGTGTAGTCTTCTCCTCCTTCTGTCTTTACAACGGGCATCACCAGATCCTGTTTCATGGCCTAAACATGTCCACACACTTAGTTCCCAAATTTGTACGTACAAATGAGAGTAGCCATGTTTGCCTCTTTTGTTTTTTGTTTTTTACCTGCCGCAGCAGCTGAGAGACGACTTTGATCTGCTGCCCTCTTGAGAGCAGGTATGTGAGCGGCACACCGGTCACTCTGGCCATCTCCATGTAGTTAATCACACACATGAGCTTCTGCAGCAGGCGCAGTGGGAGGTACGCGTCTTTCAGGCAGTAGACGGCCAAACGCCGACGCGTCTGTTCATTTCCGTTCTGAGATGGAGAACAGGGAAAAAAAGACAGCAACAATTCAACATTAGGGTTTTTTAGATGTCAGACTTCATAAAAAAAATGAGCCATATATTTAAATATGGATTAATTAATGTTGCCATGCCTGTAGATCTGTGATGATGGAGTGTTGCACATCCTCCTTCTGCTCTTGTAGAAAATGGAAACTCACAGCATTCAGTGAGTACGAGCGCAGTTTATAGTCTCTGAGGAGAACCTGAAAAAAAAAACAAAGTTCAGTGTGTTTTCCTGAAAACAGTCTTACCTACACAGTGCACCACATATTATCTGTACAGTAACTTAAAGCTTGTTAAATTAGCATTTATAATAGTAAGAACTGACCTGCAGCAGATCAAACTGAACTCGGCCCTCCATGTTAATGGTCTTGTTCTCTCTGCGGCCCATCTGCTTGCTCTGGAAATTCAAGTCTCGCAACACTGATTTAGTGTTTCGAACACGGCCCAAGTAGGGAAAGAAATTGACCTGAAGACAAAAAAAATGCAGTGTTGAGTAGAGAAGAAAACAAAAACGTAGTAGTCCAAACTTAAAAGGCAGAACTTCAGGATTTCTCATGTCAATTTTTAAGAAATTCAAAATCTTACATACAAGTTTTAAGCATTGGATCAAAATAAATATGGCTCATCTAACCTTTAGAGTAGCTGCCCTGTTGAGCAAGTAGGGAAAGTCAAAGTTCTGGATGTTGTATCCAGTAATGATGTCTGGGTCCACCGTCCTCAAAAACTCTGCCCAGCTCTGTTCAGACAAAGACAGAATAACAACAACACAACAAATACAAATTACAGGGCAACAACAAAAAAAAAAAACGTGTGAAAATATAGACTGAAGCGTTAGTGTACCTGTAGTAACTGTTTCTCCTGCGTAAAGCACAATATCTGGGAGCCAACAATGCTGGCGCAGGACTGAAGGGTAAATACTGTGCGTATGAAGGGCTCCGTCTCACCCTGCCGCTGCACCATGGATGCTATCTGAATCACAGGATCTTTGTCTGCTTCTGGGAAGATTCCTGGAGAGAAAAAAGTCAACAATCATGTCAAAATCTGCATTTGTTTTTCATCAGGTTTGACAAGGTCTGGTGTTTAAAAAGGCTATTGGTAGTTTATCTGTTGCACGGCAAATATGTTGAAGCAGGGAAAATAAATAAATCAAAAATCAAACCTTTTCTTCCTGCACACTCGATATCAAAGCTGAGGACCCGAAGCGGTGCGATTCTCTGCCAGTCTCCCTCTGCTGGGTGACTTATCAAATCTGTCCATCCCACATCGACTTCATACTGACACAAAGACACCTGACGGACAAACACAAGAGGAGAAAGTTCATCAACACTGTTAGTAAAGGCTTAACAATACTGAATGGAGACTGAATCACTGGCCGAGGCAGAATTGTATTGATTCACTGACAAGGCAGGTTGTCTCATGTTAGAAGTAAAACGCAAACTACACCTACCTTGCCTGGGTACTGAGAATCTGTGTCAGTCGGGCTCTTCTCTTCACGCAGCCTGTATTTGCTTTTGGGAAGTTCAATCCAACAGCATCCCACCACATCACTGTCCACCATAAACCTGAGAACACAGAGATCCGTTAGGCTAAAAAAAAAAAAAAACGTTTTACAGCTTTTTTTGCAAGAAAATATAATAAATTCAAGTAGCATCTTTAACAAGCTGGTCTCTCTGACCTCATTTTCCACTAGAGTTAGTTAGATTGCAATGGTGCTGCTGCATATAAATCAAGCAAAAACAATGAGTTAAACTTAACAAAAATCCTGATAAATCATGAAGTATATACACTTCACATAACTGAAACATATACAGTAAATATAACATCCATCTTGATTATCTAAATACACACCACAGGCTATGTTACGCTAGTTTCCTGGGAAGGCAGCTAGACATACACTAAATGTGCCATCTTATTCTGCTACCTTGATAATTGCCTCTTAAGATTAATTTCTTTTGTTGCAACTTCCGCACAATTCAACAACATTCCTTACAAAGGAAATCCAATTTTCAGATTATGCAAGTGGTCTATTCAAGAGAAACTGGTCACTTAAACAATTCCAACTGGTAAATTATCATGATTATTCATTGCTTTTAATGTAGCACACACACCTGATTTCAAAGTCTATATTGGCCTCAAAGGCTTGGTAGCACTGGAGAGGAAAAGGTCCAAACTTAAAGCCCTGTTCCAGCAGTCTCTTTGCGGGGGCGATGAGACGAGGCATGGCCATCGTTATCCGCAAGAACTCCAGACTCTGATTCCCATGGTAACCATACATGTCTGTCAAAAAAGGAAAAGAGACGTTTAGATGCAAAAATGATGACCAAGACAACAATACTGATACCAGCATCATATATGTGTGTTTATATATAAACGGATGTTTTAATATTTAGACCAGTCGTCTCAGTTACAACAGTTTGATCAAAAACCATATTTGTGATTGTTTGTGAACTCCTGGAAACACTTACTGTGTGTTAATTTTACAAACTCATTAGCATTTGCGTAGTAATTGTACTCACTCTCTTTGCGGGTGATGTCTACAGCCAACACCGTGACGGAGATGTTGTCCTTATTAGACCGCATGTCCTTCAGAACAACAGAGTTCAACTCTCTTTGAAATTCACCCAAGTAAGCAGATGTGAACCCTGTTCAAATCAAGCAGAAAGAGGGGAACATCAGGAATTAGTACAACCATTTTCTAATAAAAGCAGAAATTAATTTAGGTGTGACAGAAACAAAAGTTGACTCTATGGGGAGCATGATCAAATATCAACTAATTAAAAGCTATTTGTACAAAAAAAATAAAGTATATGACATAAATACAAGTCCTGAAAATGGTAAGTACTCACCACTTGGGGCAGGAACATAGAAGTAAGGCGCAAAACCATGGACATGGCAGCACACACTGTTACCGTTGTCTGTTACGCCAAACATCCGAATAATTGGGACTTTTCCTTGTAACTGGCCAGGCATCCCAGCTACTGCTGCTCCTGTATAACACAAAGGTGGAAACCAATTTACTAAGCATTTCTTCTCAATTAAGGTAAGGCTAGGTGGATGATACTCTGAGTTATCTGTGTATTTTTACATAGTTAAACAGATATATGTCACAGAATCGAGTCAACATGATGTTGTTTCTTTGATAGTTACCTAAATAATGGTCAAGATCAATCTGCTGAAACACCAAAGTATCAGATGATGGGTCAAGTGAAGGAGCATTAGGCCGTTTCCAACGAGGGTTAAGGTCTGCTGAGAAAAGGTCACCTGGTAGGACAAGGAGGCAAGACAGAGATAAAACCAAAAAAGCATTATTTATTATGTCCATGGATGCTACAAGCTTGTTGAGTTTCAGACATTGACTCAACAGTCAAGCAAGGTTCTGGGATGACAGTTAAATAGTTTCACAGTTGCTACTTACTGTTTAATGGCACGTAGCAAAAAACTAAATGCTATTTATTTATTAAAGGCATGGCTTGATTATCAAGTTAACCTATCAAGCTGATTTGTTAGGGCTACAAGCCATACAATTTTCTTACTTAAAAAGCAAGAGAAATATAATAAATATTACATTATAATTCTGCATACAAGGACTATGTGATGCTACAGATTTAGCACATTGAGCAGCTAGAGATGGTGTGAAACAGCTATTAATAGTTTTGAGGCAGATGTGCATGTCATTTGCAAAACAGTTTCACCTGCACCAGCTACGATTGTGTGCTCTTCTGTTCAACACTCACCTACGGGAATAACGTCATGTCCTGCTTGCCCCTCCATCTCTTCTGCATCCATCTCTGCTTCCTCAAACATCAGCAACTCCTCTTCAAACTGTGAAGGACTGTCCTCCCATTCGCTGGCCGCTTTACCTCGCTTGGCCTGAGACGCTCCGCCCATCAGAGGGCCACCATTGCGGCGTTTAAAATCCATGCCTACAAGTTGACGGCAAAAAAACTTTGTGAAACAGTGAAGGAACATTAGGAAAGATGATCAGAAAGAAATAAGAAAGAAAAGCATTACTTAACACAGCATGCATATAAATTATTGAGGATAGTCGTAAATGAATAAGTTCAGAAAAAGGCAAATGTCAACACAACCTACTGAGAAACTGTCTGAGTAACAATGAAAGCTAATATCTTAGCAGAAATACTATTTCTATACATGCACAAGATTAGACAGAACAATACATCTGATATCAGCGGTGTTCACATTCTCTACAGAATCAGAATCAGCTTTATTGACAAAGAATGTGTACACACTTTTTTTTCTTCGTCCTCACAGTACTTTCACAAAAAAACAAAAAACACACACATCCACCCAAACAAGGGCAACAGCTAAAAGATAGGAGAATGTTATGCTTAACTTCTGTGCAGTTATTGATGTGTGTAAAACTGCTTTTTGAACCAAATCGTTGTGCAATTGTGCAAAAAAAAAAAAAACAGTAATTAAGAATAAATACAGGTCGAATTTGTACACTAGCATTAGTATACTTTGCAGTAGCAGGTAAAATCAGAACAGCTCTGTCAGTAATCATGAAATACTGTTTCACTGTGGGATATTTCTCAAACGATGAGTGCAGGTGGACGACATAAACTGCCATGAGGAGTCATAACAAGAGACAGGATGCCATGATAACCCAGATAAAGAAAAGAAACACAACGTCAAAAAGAAATTTGATCACAGTAACTGCCAAACCGTACAACAGTACGATAATAAACTGAATGTCATGTGATATATTCAGACCAGCCTTCTAGTATGCCTGCTGAAGCACCCAAACTGGTTTTACACAACTCATTTACATTCACCATCGCACTTCTGTTGTGCGAACCTTATGGCAGCTACTTCAGTCAGGCGCACTCTATTTTACCTACGCGTTAAATGCAGCACTTTCACTTTCAGCCTGCAAAGTACCAAACATATACAGCTCAGTAATCCAGCAGTAAGGTTTATGACAAGTGAATATTTGATCAAGATATGGCAGCTTCTTTCTTTTATAACCGGCTAATGCAGCATGCTAGCAAACACACAGCAGTCTCGCGCCACAGCTCACCTCACCAAACTGTTGTTTGTGTCGCGGTGAACTCAAACATCGCAAATATAAACAGCTGCTGAGTTTCTAACGAATTTATACATACCTCTAAAAATTACGTCCTCACACCAGACCCCGGTTGACAACAGCTCCCGCCACTCTTCTTTAATTCATGAACTTTCACCGAGGAAAGCGCGGAAAGTTTCCGTTCTGTTACTGGGCTGTGTAGCGTAGGAACGGACAGTGACGACACAGAAAGGGGCGGGGTCACAGTGGTAAAGATAAGGAAGTTGGACAAGACTTGCTGAATCCTTGCATGAAAGGAAAACCGTGTGGTCCCGGCAAAATGACGTCCGGCTGAGGGAGGGAAAAATATTAAAGTGACAACAATCCCTCCAGCATAGACAGACAGATAGATAGATAGATAGATAGATAGATAGATAGATAGATAGATAGATTTATATAAGATACATACAAGAATACGTGCAATGCCAGTATTTTCTCTGTGCAGTCTGTGGGCAATAGCTGGGCAATATTATTACGTCTCTATCAGTTTTTCTACTCATGAAAGAATCTGCAATACTATTGATATTTGCAATATTGTTGTTTCCATCCGGAGGAATTTGGACAATCAGAACTAATATTTCTTTAATGTTTGAACTATCTCTTTTGCTGCGATATGAGTAATAAAGGGTTATTGTATTAAACCGCATCATATCGTATGGGGAAGGAAGTGGTGTTTCATATTAAAATAAATCAAATCAAGCATATTTATACAGCACCCTTAAAATAACCTGTGTTGGAGCTGCTACTGCAAAGGCAAGATCTCCTTTATCTAGTTGACAGCACCTGTTGTGATGATGAAGAGGTCAAGCGGTAAAATGGGGCAGAATTGTACCCACGTGCCAATCCATCCATGGCTTTGTAAACAAATAAAACAAGCTTAAAATTAATTCTGTGTTTAGCAAGTAGCCAGTCCAGGGATAGTAGTACAGGCGTGATGCTTTCCTTTTTTTGTTGCCAGTTAGGAATCTTGCTGCAGCTGAAGACTAGAGACACAGACATAATATATACACACAACTCTTCTTCCTTCAAATAGCTGTGCATTAATTTAATGCATTTGGCCTCGGTCTATGGTGGGGAGTGGGGGTGTCACTGGGGGTCTCTCTCTGGCCTCTGGATGAGGCCAGCTGCATTTTTGTTTTTTTAATTTTTTTTTCTTTACAGTTTAACAAAATATTAATTTAACACAACAGGAACAATCTGTAACATAGCAGTAAATTGTTTTTTAAAAAAGTTACAGTTAAAACCTTATAGCTAATGCTCAGGTTCTGACAGTTTCAGCAATCGAGCCTTGAGGAAACTATTAGTGGTCACAGTCTTCATGTCACTCGGACAAAGGGTGGATCTCAGTCTTGCAATGTTCCAGAGTTGAAAGCAGCACCCTTCGACCACAGACTTTTTTGTTTATCAAATTTAATCACTGAGTCAAGGATTTTTTTTTTTTAATAAAGTTAAGAGGATCCTATATTTTGAATCTTTCTGAGATGATAAACACATGATTGCACAGGCTTTGTAATGTGGTGACATGTTCACTTTGGCTAATGAAATACTCAGATTGCAACTGTATGAACTGACATTATCGACAATTTAGTTGCACGTTTAAACATAAATTCACTCTCGCAAAAATGGGGATCTTGTTTGTCCATTCACTGTTCAATTCTTTTTAGTTAAACTTTATTTATTTAGCTTTGATAGCATTCAGATTCCTTTAGATAGAGCTGCAATAATTAACTGATTAATTAGTTAGTTTGCTCACAGATAAATTATTGTCAGCTGTGGGAATACTAGTTCATAGTTTAGATTATTTTTCAAGCAAAAATATTACAAATTTGATGGTTCTAGGTTCTCAAATCCTGAAATGCAAAAGTGTAAGTTTGCTTTTTTTTTTTGTATCTGGGGGTCTGGACTCAGGATGTTTAGAGCACCAACCATTTAATTTCCTGCATTTTGCTGAATTTTTACCCACATTCTGCATCAGTTTATGAAGACAACTTGCCTTCTATTGTGCCTTCTGTTTGGAGACGTAACCTCTTTACATGTGCATGTGACACCTATTAACATCGATGATAAATGTATTCATTTTAATTCATTTATAAACCCTTGGACTTTAATAGGTCATATGTTTTTCAGCAAGATTTCTGCTCAGAGTAAAAACTTCCACATTTCAAACATGCAACACATATCTAAGTTTGATAAAATGAAGAAAAAAGGCCTCAGAGTAGAAGTTATAGGGTTTCTCCCCAAGGCATATTTTTTAAAAGAAGAAGTCCTTTGATTTTTTTCTTGTATTTATTAGGTGGGACACATGCATGTTGGTCTAGACATTTAGGGGGAAACAGCCTCTGCTGAACTCTACACTTATGCCAAAAAAGTAATAAATAAATAAAGATTCATGAATGCTTTTCTTGCCATACATGATACTAAATATGTGTTTTTTGTTTGTTTTTTCTTTAGATAAGACATTAATGAACATTTGATAACCTGACTGAAAATGTTCACTGTTTACATATATTTTATAGACCAGAATGCCCCTCCTTCACACAGCTCAGAGTGGATTAAAATTAACTTTTGAGCCTATCCTACGATTAGGATTGAATTAAAGAGATGAAATATCCCAGCAACCGAGATAACAAGGCCTTGTGAAAACAAAGATACCCTTTCTATGAATCTGTATGCTCACAGAGTGTGATGGTTTCACTTAACCATGAACATTGTTGGTGATTTCTGTCACCTCCTGCAGACTTAGAGGTCACTGAGAGGAGCATAGTGCCTTGCTCTAAGGTCAGAGGTCACAGGACTGAGGGTGGTGATACCTCAGAGGTACAAATCAGTGGTTTGGATACCAACAAATAGCCACCAGTGGAAAATAGCTCTATGGGTTAATATAGGACAGATGTCAGCGATATGTGGAGGGTTAAGTCTTAATGTCACTGGTCACGTTGTATTTTCAACGCTGCTCCCTGATCCTTAGAAGACCTTATAAATAACTCCTGCTCTTCTCCCTCCTCACAGTAAAAAAAAAAAAAAAGGAAAACTTGCCCGGTTTCCCATGGCTGCCCTGTTTTGTATGGATGAAATGATAACTCACCAACCACCGCAGCTCCTTTAACCTCTCCGCAGCCAATTGAGTCTCTCCGCTGAGGAAAACGCCCAGTTCCCGTCACGTTGTGCACAGGGGCAGGCGCAAAGAGGAGACTGGGGCCAATAGGAGTGAAGCTCATGAATAATATAACAGCAGAAACCTCACTTCGAACAGCCTTCTTCCTGCATCCCGGGCCAGGGCCGCCCCGTCCCCTGTTCGGCACGGAGCGCACGGAACAAACGTGAATCGCTGACATTTAACCGAAGCCGCCGCCCCCTTGTGCCTGCTCTCCGCTGTTTTCCTTTTTATGGATTGACTGCGACAGCTGCCAATGTGTGCTTCATCTCCGTGAAGTTGGGACAACACCGGAGTGTGAGTAGACGTCTCTGTTTTATCCTCCAACAATGATACTAGTTGAATACTTTGCGCATCGAGCCGTTGCGCGTCCGGACGCGGTGTCCTCGGCGCGTTTCCGCAGCTGTGTTGCAGTGGCTGCTTGATGTCACGTTCGCCTCGAAACTAAAGAGAAGCAGAGACGATGCAGAAAGCAGCAGCATGTTCTCCGGGAGCTGCTGGGTTTACAGAGCTGCCTGCAGTCTGTAGACATGAGCGTCTTTTCTTAGAGCTGTCGGCCTGCAGGACAATAACTACATTATGCATCAACGGGACGTGAGCAATGTCATGATGGTGATTAGGGTTTAAACTGGTTAATGTGGGAATTTCATTAGATTTATCCATAAAGCGAAGCAGATGGATGCACACAGACATCCAGAGGGAATTCAGGGGGCCCCAAAGAAATGTTGAATTTCACATGTCAGATTCACATTTTAACTCTCTTCTATCCAAAAGGAGACTTGTCATGGTACCTAACTATGAAAATCTGTTTAGAACTACAGAATCTGAGGTATTGCATGCAAAAAAAAAAGGGTCAGGATGGTGTTCAGGTTTATCTGGGCCTCAACTCAAACTGCCTTGTGTGTCGCTCATGTGCACCCCAAACATTTCTAAAGTTTCATTTCTAGTGTAGTTGTGGACAGGATCGTTGGGTTGTTTGAATCCTGTGGGCGCCCTGCTTCATTCTGGTAGATTTTCATGATTACAACATTTTACAGGAGCAACATGTGTCACAGTAAAACAAGTTAATACCTGATCCATGCCCTTGTTTATGCCTTCCTACAACTCTGCATCCTTTCTCACGCCACTCCCCCCGTTTGTTCAGGAGGAGGTTTCACCATTCCTACTAGCAGGAACTGAACACAAGTTGTATTTTCACACACACACTCAGGCAGGAGGAATGCACTCCTGTGCTTCATAAATGTCTCAGTGGCCCTTACAGCAGTGTAGTTGTAAATAAAACAATTGTAGCAGCAGGTATATGCATTATTGTGCATGTGTGTGTGTGTGTGTTATGTAGCTGCACTGGAGGGCAGCCAGGAAGAGGTTATCTAAGATAGCACACAGTGCAAATACTGTACTCACATATGCTGCACACTTTTAGCCTTATTACTCAACACTTCAGTGTGTTTATTTGAGCAGTTGTTCCCTCGACAACAGATGAACTTTTAACTAAGTTACCAAAGAAATCAAAATGTGTGAAATATTTCCTGTATTTCCAGGAAGTAAAGCATTGTCGAGTAATTGACAGAGGTTGTGTTAACATCACAGCTGTGTGATGCAATAAGACTTATGAAATAAGGTGTGTTGCTCATTGATGTTGAATTAATGTTGATCAAGAGGATGTTCCATTTCTTCCAAACTGTCACTCACACTTGAGGCTTACTTGCTGCTACCTTCGGTTGATAAATTTGGAAAAATAATTAAAATCCTTCAGTTTCTGTCTAACTTTGGAGTATTCTGGATTTCTAAATCTAAAACAAAGCGGCTTTGTTTCCACTCGTCAGTTGTATTAAGATAGTTTTTGGCAAGTCGGTTCGGCACGTGACAGTTGTGTTTTGTGTACATATAGTGGTAAGGTGTTCCCATCTGAGCGGCGTGGCTTCTATTTTTACCCAGAATGCCGCTGGCTCGCAGCCTGTCCGTTACGTCCCTGTCGGGGCTGGAGGAGTGGGACGAGGAGTTCGATTTGGAGGATGCTGTTCTTTTTGAAATCGCCTGGGAGGTGGCTAACAAAGGCAAGTGTCTGATGCACAAGTGTGTATGTGCACTTTTAAATGAGAAGATTGGACAAGTAAGCATGGAAATGTTTAAATGTAGACTATACTAAGAATATAGACCTGTCATATAAATCAGCCTGGATCACATTATATCTCTGTCTCGACTCTGTGTGGCATGTTTGATGCATGTGTGAAGTTGGAGGCATCTACACCGTCATCCAGACCAAAGCCCGTCTGACCGCAGAGGAATGGGGGGAGAACTATTTCCTGGTGGGTCCCTATGTGGAGAGCAACGTGCGCACTCAGGTGGAGCTGATCGAGCCCACCAACCCCGTGCTGAAGCGAACCATTGACAAGATGAACGCCAGTGGCTGTAAGGTACTACCACACATAACACAGTAAACACACACGCAGCTGCCTCGGAGTTAAATATATACATTCACCTCAAGGACAGTCGCACTTACTGCTCATAGTCGGAGTGATTATAAAGTTGTGAACATGTGCGGTGAATATGCTCCATTAGAGATCCTCTTTTCTGGCCATGACCACGACTCTTAAACCCAGTGACATTTCCCCGCAAAGGTTAGAGGTCGTATCGGTGTCCGTCAGTCTCTGGCTCTTCCATGCAGACTCACTCCAGAAATAGATGACTGATGCTTGTGACGCTTTGTGCTGTGTCACTCTAGGACGAACTGTGGGTCAAGGATAGCAGTAGTAGTGGAGCTATTTTAGAGGAATGGTGCAGACATTTCTGGTTTACCTTGAATCACGCCAGACAGGCCAGAACAAAGTTAGAGGAGCTGTGCTTCTATTTTTTGTAAAAGACATTTAAGTCCAGTGAGTTATTTCCACTTTAGTTTTAAATATGAATACGTGTTCACAAGTGAAACTCCTACTCCTATGTGTATTATAATCAGTATTTGAGTCAGGTGAAGTAGTGTTTCATATTATTTTTGTCGGGTTTTAATTCCTACTATGTACATTACTCAGGTAAAGTCACACTATAAATAACACTGTAGAGTCCTGAACCCGATATTTACACTTAATGTCGTGATGCCAAAACTTCTTTTTCCTGGAGGACACTTTGATGTATCAACTGTTGTCTTGAATGAACTGTATATTTTGAATAAGAACACAAAAAACATCACGAGTTGCTTTATTGTAACGCTTATCTTATTTTAGCTTAGCTTTCTTTTCAAAAGATGCTATACAAATCAAATTATTATCAATTATTATTATTAGACAGAGGCACTAACTAATTTGTGAAGATATGAAAACAGTAAACAAGGAGGAAGCAGGAAACAAAGTAAATCTAAATAAAAATTAAAAGTAGAAGTTATGTTGCAGCTGCAGCTCCTCTAATATTTCTCACTGTTTAAATGAATAAAAATAGCTTCTTCTCCATGTTCCCGCAGGTCTACTTTGGCCGCTGGCTGATTGAGGGCAGCCCATATGTTGTCCTGATAGACGTCGCCTTCACCGCCTGGTCTCTGGACCGCTGGAAGAGCGAGCTGTGGGAGCTGTGTGACATCGGCGTGCCGTGGTTCGACCGCGAGGCCAACGATGCCGTGTTGTTTGGCTTCCTGACAGCTTGGCTTCTCGGAGAGGTCAGCAGCTCGAGCTGAGAGTCACATAGCTGACAAGAGCGGACGTAAAACTGTTGAGAATTGGGAATTTGTGTGCAAGAAAGAAAAATGATTATCTGCATGTCTGTGAAAAGTGTGAAGGGGTCTTAGAAATAAAAAACATTGAACGTATTTGAAGCTTTGCAATACAAAACTCTGGAAAGCATGTATGGTTTGGGCCCTTACATTAACACTGGTCCTGTGTTCTTCAACACTGCAGTACGTCGCTCAGAGTGAGGAGCCTCCACACGTTGTCGCTCATTTCCATGAGTGGCTGGCCGGCCTGGGCCTGGTGTTGTGTCGACACAGACAGCTGCCTGTTGCAACCATCTTCACCACTCATGCTACACTGCTGGGACGCTACCTGTGTGCTGGAAACGTGGACTTCTATAACAACCTTGCAGAGGTATGCGTGTTTGTGAGTCTGTCCACATTTAGATTTTATTACAAATGCAACAGTTGTTAAATTTGTGTCGAAAAATGCACATAATCAGACAGATTCTATGATTTGAATTTCAATGTTTGTGTCTGCTTCAGTTCAATGTGGATAAGGAAGCTGGCGACCGACAGATCTACCATCGCTACTGTTTGGAGCGAGCGGCTGCACACTGTGCCCACGTCTTCACCACAGTGTCCCAAATTACAGCCATTGAAGCAGAACACCTGCTCAAGAGGAAACCAGGTGTGTGGAGGTGAATTGATGTATGACATTGCACTCAGAAAGTATCCCTGATAGTCACGGGAATCAATCGTCATCACTCAGTGTCCTTCCTGCTGCTGCTTTCAGTGCAGCATTATTTTTATTTTATTTTTAAAAAAAACTAGCATTTAGCTGATTTCTCTGTTTCGTCTGTGCTTCTGTTTTTGATTCACACAGATGTTGTCACTCCTAACGGTCTCAACGTGAAGAAGTTCTCAGCTGTGCACGAGTTTCAAAACCTCCACGCTCAGAGCAAAAACCGGATTCAGGAGTTTGTCAGGGGACATTTCTACGGGTCAGAACACACAGCACAACATTTCAGCACCGTCAAAACTGTATTAATTCAGCTGGAAAAACAAGAATCCAAAAATATGATCTGTATAATGCTATTAGAGTGAACCATATCTTAACTGAATGTGTGCATTCTAAGTTTTATCTCAGCTTGTCTTGACCACCAGGCATCTTGACTTCAACCTGGACAAGTGCTTGTTCCTTTTCATAGCCGGAAGGTACGAATTCTCCAACAAAGGAGCCGACCTCTTCTTGGAGGCCTTAGCCAGACTCAACTATCTGCTGAGAGTAAGTGTGTGAGGCTGTGTCAGCAGATTGAAGGAGGAAATGGGGAATGCTGGGTGTTAAAACTCCATGTTTCTGTGTCTGTCACAGGTCAACCATAGCGACGTGACGGTCATTGCGTTCTTCATCATGCCGGCTCGGACAAACAACTTCAACGTGGAGACGCTGAAGGGCCAAGCAGTCAGGAAGCAGCTCTGGTGAGGCTGTTTTTAGATGCTGCCGTTGTAGTTGTAAATGAAGCATCAAACTCACCATCAGATGCTTCAAAATGGAAAAGTGATTCTAGATGTATTCTCTTGTTTGTTGCGCCTGACAGGGATACAGCTCAAACTGTGAAGGAACGCTTTGGAAAGAAACTTTATGAGTCTCTTCTAGTGTAAGTTGCCCACTTTCAGTTTACCTCATGAAATCTATAAGATGTGAAATGACGTGTCTTGTACCTCCAGTAGGAGACCCTGCCCAATAAAAACTTACTGTTAATAAACAAAATCTGGACGTTTTCCATTCCACCTGGATATAATTACATTCAGATTCCATGCACACTGTAAACACTGTATTTCCATTGTTGAAACATGCTATTAAAGACCTAATATTTTTGTGTTTGAGAGAGACACAGTCACATGTCTTGCATATCAAGTTCCAGCAGATTAAGCTTCCAACTGTGCTTGTTTCTATTCACCATTGACTCTTTTGTTTAGTGGGCAGCTGCCAGATGTGTCAAAGATGTTGGACAAAGAGGACTTCACCATCATGAAGCGTGCCATCTTTGCGACTCAGAGACAGTGCCAGCCTCCGATCTGCACCCACAACATGCTGGAGGACAGCAGTGACCCCATCCTCAACTGCGTCCGCCGCATCGGCCTTTTCAACAGTTCTGCTGACCGAGTCAAGGTAGAAAATAGAACGACCTGTGAAAGGTTACCACCCTCACACCCCTGAGAATGTCTTCTTGCCTTTTTTGAAGGGGATTTTATTCATCTTGGGTTTTTTGAACACCGGTTGTGTAACAGTAGTTGTTCTTTCTAGTTATAACGTTCGTCCCATACATGCTAATACTGTGTAAAATGTTTATTTGGGCAGAAATTGCAGGAGTCTCCGTGATTCATGTGTCTGTTACACGTCTCAGTCCTCTGTAGGATTTGGAAAGTGCATCATCTTGTCGTTAAGAAGTACAACTGAGTCACTCTGTTAATAATTAATCAGTGCCTCCCACCTAAACCTAAAAGTATCACCTGATTTCTGTTGTACAATAACTTTAGTATATTTAATGAAGCTGTGTAAAATTTTACCTTCACACCGTTAATATTTTCTGAGTTACAGGCCCTCGAAGGACGTAGGGGACTTGACTTCATACGTAAAGCACGACATGAAATTTTCAGTGCTTAAAAAAAACATTCGAGCTCTGTTGATAATTGCAACCAAATACATTTTTTATCAAAGCAGGTCACAGCATATGAAAGGTCTCATTTTCACCAACATGTTGATACCAGGCTCGTCTTCTAGCCATGATTCCTTCTGTGCCAAAACAATTTTCTAATATAGTCATGTTATAATACTTGCAGATGTAGCTTATGGCTGTGAACAGAAGAAACAACATCGATGTTCACTTGTTGTTGTTTTTTTTACATTTGGATAAATCACAGTGGAAAAAACAAGTTTGTTGTATTCAGTGCTTGTTTGAGAGTCTTTTTAGATTCTACTCTAATAGTGTTCAGTACTTGTTCTGTCGGTCTGTTTCCATCACCACGTTATGAACAGCAGTGACGATGTGTAATCTTGGTATCCAGCTCTTGTCTTTTCTGCAGGGCAGGAAAATGACCGTGCAGGAATGATCATGGTTTTAATTCCTCGAGTAAATGCAATCTCAAATTTTACATTTTGCACATGTCAAAATATGCCTATGTTAGAAAATTGTTTTAACACAGAAGAAATCATGAGTTGAAGATGATCCTGATATCAAAACATAGGTAAAAATGACACCTTTCATTTGCTGTAACTTGTTTGACCAACCACATATTCCACATGGCAATATGATCCTTGAAAGTTTGCCTAAAATGCCCTTTTTGAAGTTTCCTTGAATGAATGAGCAGAAAACACATCCAGGGTACCAGTGGTTGCTTTTATGACTCTGCTGTATGTTCCAGACATTAAACGGCTGCAGTTTTGATGTTGAAAGTATGATATATATTCTGTTATAGTGATGCTCAAAGTTGCTTATACAAAAATCCGACTTTGGCTTTAGATTGTAACACCTGGAGTGGATATAAACTTGATTTGGCTGCAGTTTTTAACAGAGGTCAAAGGTGATGTTTATCCCTGTAAATTTTACGTGCCTGTCTCCTGAACTGATGACACTATGACAGCTCCAAAATGATCCAAGGAGTAGTGCAAATTAAAAACACTTTGACCCTTTTCTGAGTGGGTCAGTTGGAAAGTAGTTTTTTTTTTTTTTTCATATTTACTTGATTTAATATGAACTGACCCAACAGCTTGCTATGGTAAAGGCTCTTACTGTGTATCTGCCTGTGTTACTGAATGAGTTCTCCATCCATCAGATTATCTTCCATCCAGAGTTCCTTTCGTCCACCTCTCCTCTACTTCCAATGGATTATGAGGAGTTCGTAAGAGGATGCCACCTCGGCGTCTTCCCCTCTTACTATGAACCTTGGGGATACACGCCAGGTACGAATCATGAGTACCGATGTTGTGTATGTACGATATGTAGATTAAAAACCTTAATCCGGCTTTACTGTTTTTATCATTAACAGCTGAGTGCACCGTCATGGGAATTCCATCGATCTCAACCAACCTGTCGGGCTTTGGCTGTTTCATGGAGGAGCACATAGCGGACCCCACAGCATATGGTGAGTGCCTTTACATAATATCATCCACATTCTCCTTTATTCTAAACAACTGTTGTTTTTCCTCAAAAAGATGAACCCGTCATGCCCCATTCCCTTTGCAGGTATTTACATCCTGGATCGGCGGTTCCGGGGGGTTGACGAGTCGTGCAACCAGCTCACTTCGTTCCTGTTCCAGTTCTGCAAGCAGAGCCGACGCCAGCGGATCATCCAGAGGAACCGGACTGAGCGCCTGAGTGACCTCCTGGACTGGAGATACCTCGGCAGAGTGAGCTTACAAATCCCATACATGGACTTTGTTGTTTATGCGACAACTTCACAGTTAATTAAGATTGTTCTCCATCTGTTCTGCATTAGTATTACATATCTGCCCGTCACATGGCCCTGGCTAAAGCCTTCCCTGACACCTACCTGTATGAACCTCATGACCCCACATCAGTAAGTTAACTTTATTTTATATATGGAAGTGAAGTCCTTTCAGCTTCATCGTCTCGAGATGCTGATCTTTCATTCTCGTCCTCAGACTACAGGTTTCCGTTACCCCCGCCCAGCCTCGGTGCCGCCATCCCCAGCTCTGTCACGCCACTCCTCCCCGCACCACAGCGAGGCCGAAGACAACGACGAAGACGAGCGCTACGACGAGGACCTGGAGGCGGAGAAGGACCGAGTGAACATCCGCCAGCCCTACTCCCTGCCGTTCAAAAACAAGTTGCCCGCTGCCAATGGGGCCAAAGGGGCCAATGGAGCCAACGGGGCCAACGGGGCCATTGGGAACAGCGACGCAAGCGAAAAAAACTAAGACGGACACACGCACGCATACAGTATATGCTACACCTCACTAGCGAAACTCTATCTGTGGCAGTCGTTGAAGTCATCCACGTACTTGCAAACTTTACAAACGAGTGCAGTTGTGTGAACACACGTGATGAATTTGAAATCGGTATGTTATGACAAAAAAAATTGCATCACTGTCAGTGTCTTCCCGAACCTGTGCGTACCTCAGAATTTTTTTACAAATGTCCGTCAGTTTCAGTATCATTTCAGTTACACCAGCAGTGCAGCCAGTGGTTTTCTTCGGGGAGTAAATACAGCAGCTAAAAAGGCTCAACGTGGAGAAAAAAAATAATAAATCAGGATTGCTGGATTTTGTAGCGTACTAACACTGGATAACATAGGCCTGAAGCAGTGGAAAAGCTAACAGGATTATTATGGGTTTCTGGAGATAGATTTTATACTTGATTCAAAGGTGGGCCAGAGCAGGGAAAACAACAAAACCCTCCTTTCTACCAGCTTGTCATCTTAATGCATTTAAAGTTTTCCTGTAAAAAGAAAAAAAAAAAGGCCCATGTAAAGACATTAGACACTGTCAGCATCTGTTCTTCGTACTCGTGTTTCACTTATGATGATGATTCAGTGCTTCAAACTGTCCACCTTGTTGTAGCATTTTTTTTCTTGTCTTTCTGTCCTTCAAATGCCTTGTTTACTACCAAACTTCTCAGAATGGAGATATGATGCAGAGCACACACATGCACAACAACAAGTAGCATCAGAAAACAATGCTGTCATCTGGAGAATAGTGTCAGCAGGTGTGTGTTTTTCGTTTTGTTCCTGCGCCTTATTGTGTCACAGTGATGATTGCTGGTAAACAACCTCATACTCGTACTATGTGTGTGTTTGTGTGTGTGTGTGTGTGTGGAGATGGTTAATCCTCAGATCGCCTTTATTTATTTGTGAAAGGAAAAGAGGTGTGAAAAAACAGGACTTTGTGTGAAGATGGCAACCATGTTTTCAGGGGGAAGACCTTTAGAGAAAAAAAGGGCTACAGAAGGAGGAAATCTTAACTATGTGGAAAAAGGAAAAAAGTTTTACCAGGCGTTTACTCACTATCACTCCCTGTAAGAGCTGTATCATTTGTTACAATCTTGCACCAGATGAACTTATAATAAAGTTGAAATATATATATCTATATATAAATACATACACCTGTTAGTGTTTTACAAATAATAATGTCTCTTCTTTCGTTGTGCACATGCAGTTTATTGAAACACGCATCCAAGAGTCTGTGGGTTTTAAATGCTCAGTCACATGGCGATGCAGTGATCCGCCGTCCACGCAGCGTATCTGCGGTAAACCATCTAATTTATCTGGAATTTTGCAGCCGATCCTCCTGTGTTGTAGGTAAATCCTCCATCCGTCCTCACCTGCTTCAGCACAAGCAAACTCTGCCCCCGTGACCTTTGCAAACTGAGAATATAAAGGTTAAAATCACATTATCAATGATGTGTCACTTACTTACACACACAAAAATGTAACTTGAGTAATATACAAATGCACAGATTTGAGCTACTTATAGGTGTATTTCACTTGCATGCTACTTTCTAGGTTACTATTATTTACTATTTTATCTTTTTAAATTAGGATTTTACACTAAAACATGATAGTAAAGTATTAAAAGCTGTTTTCTATATCAGAAAAAGTGTTCCTTTTCATACATAAATCAAAAATATGAGCCACAGGGGACATTTTTCTGCAGGTTAAGGTTAAGTATGATTTTAAATGCATGTGTTTTAATTGAGTACTTTGGTGCTTTTCATCAGAAAGTGTTAGAAATTATTGCAAGACTCACAGAGTAAACTATTCCAGAAGGAGTTGTATGTCGCGCTGCCGGTTACAGCCCCAATTTTGGCTGGATTCCTCCTGACTGTGTGCACTGAGAACCCATCAGGCCCAGCGACCTCCACTTCTACCACATGATAGTCACTTAACCTGCGACGTGAAGGAATGTGAAACTGGATGATCCAAGCGGACATAAAAGGCTGAATTAGTTCAGGGAGGTTTTTTTTTAGAGAGACTCACGCTGTATCAGACACAATCTCTCCCTGAACACCAGCAAAGCCGAGCGTTCCCGCTGCCAGTGCTGCTGCTGCCATGGTGTTCACATTGTTTGGCGCAAGTGGGCACAATTCTGCCACCGAGCCTCTGAATAAAACTCGCCGGCCCTCTCCCTCCGTCCAATCGCTGAGGACGTCTCCTGTGAGCCGGAAGCAGGATGGATGCTTGGACATTCTTATGAACAAAGCCTGAAAAGCAGCCAAGAGAAGACAGGGTTGAATCAGAGGACAGAGAAGTTTACCAGAGACGTTCACGGCCAAATTTAGCACCACTGAGCCACATTCAGCTCAAATATGCTCATGAAACAAAAGCAGTGTTTCAAGTATTTCCAAGTCAAAGATTCTCACAGTCTAAACATTGTGAAGAGCCACTGCATGTCTCATTATAACTCCGCACTACCTTCAGTTTCCCACTGTCATTCATTCTCTGGATGTCTTGGCCTCCCCATAAAGCACCACTGGGGATGTAGAGCGTCCTTCCATACTGCTGAGCAGCCTGACGCAGATTCTGATTCAGATCCGGATCAGAGAGGGCAGAAGGGGAGCCCACCTAAGAGGAGGAGGAGTAAAGGCACAATATGATTATTATATTAATTACCTTTAGTGAAGGAGAATTTAAATTTCAGCTAAGTCATCATTCTAGCATCTTAAAAAACATTTGAAACTAAAAGAAAAAGAAGCTTTATTGTCATTGTACAACAGATACAAAATTTCGTTTGCAGCAGCTATTAAGGTCACAGTCTGAGAAAAAATGTTAAAATGTGATATAAATAATAAAATAGCAATAAAATATAAAACAAATACTCTATTAAAAGTGCAAAAGAGCATTTGCTAGAATGAGTCCGTAAACTGGGAGTGTCACGGTTCCTGCAGCAGTCTCTCAGAGAAGCTAATGTGTGCATTTATCTATTGTACCATGGATTACTGTAACTGGCCTCCCCAATAAGACCATTAGACGTCTGCAAAACATTCAAAATGCTGCTGCTTGAATACTAAGGAGAGGGAACATGTCGCTCCAATTCTTACATTATTGCACTGGCTTCAAGTTAGAGTTGAATTTAAGGCTCTTTTTATTCACTCTAACTCTCTCAATGGTAATATCAGAACGGTTTACTGAGTAGATGCCTCTCAGATTTGCAGAAACTGGTCAGCTACTGGAGCTCAGAGTTCAAACAAAATATGGTAAAAAATTATTAGTCGCTGTTATGCTGCCCACTGCTGGAATCAGCTAGAGATATGCACATATCCACACACAGAGCTGCTGCCATTTTTGAAACTAAGCTAAGTTGTTTGTTTTTGCACTTCTATTAATTAATGCGACACTCTTACATATTCTGTTCTACAGTTGTCTGTACTTTTATTTCTTTTAGACTTTGTCTTTTTTAAAAAAAAAACAACAATTTTTTAATAATCAGCTATTGTTACTAAACAGCCTTGAGAAAAGTCACTTTGCATTTTACTGCACATCTGACAAATAAAAACTCTTGAGTCTTGAATCTTTGAATTGTGTATAAAACGTGCTTTGCAAATAAATGCGCCTTGCTTTACAGACCCATTCACGCTTCAGGGCATACACAAAATAGAAATACAAATACACAAATACAGCACAAGCCGTTAGTGTTTGGAACCAGTAATGACCTAAATCTGTTGTTCTCCAAATATACCCCATACCAGTATCTAATCATCTTGTCTTTATACTCATGTTTGTCTTTTCCAACTCTTCAGAAGCAAAATTAGCAACACCTATATCTATCCAAAGAAATCATTTGTCTGTATGTATATGCTCCTCTGATTGTGTTTATGCACCATATTTTTCCTGAAATCATTCAGATTAAACAGCATGCCCCTGTTACACGTTCAAATCTATTAAAGCACAGTGAGATAACTCTTTCCAGGTGAAGACATGTCTATAATTAATAATAAAGATTAGTAGTAACAGTACTTTTCCCCTGCTAATAAACCACCCAAACTCCAGAAAAACAGAAAAGAATCTCACCATGAAATGAGACCGAGACAGAAAATGGAGCCCAAATTCTTTCACTATCTGAGGATGGCACACCTCTATGATCACATCACACCGCCTGTAAAACACACATTTGTTGTTAATTAAAGAGTGTTAAGGAACATTAAAGGCGTGTCCTGAGATAATAAAGTGAGGGTTTATATTGGTATATATGTGTGTGAGTCTGCACCTGTCTGCAAAGGACGACAGATCATCCAGTATGAGCTCAGCAGGAACTGAACCCTTGAGCTTGTCAGGATTTCTGTTCCAGACAAAAGCCAGCGTTAAACCAAGAGCAGGTCCATCTTTGAGGATCTTCTCCACAAGGTACTGCCCTAAATCGCACACATACATATGCATATATCAGCAAATCACACAGTAATTCAAAGAGTGTGTGCTTGGATTTGGAAGGGGGAGTTCAGACCTAGGTGTCCAAATCCGACTACTCCAATCCTTTGGGAGGAAGAGCTGGTTGCCATGTCTGTGCAGAGGAAGCAAACAAGCTAATAAAAGCCAAGAACATTCACCCGCAACACTAAAACGCACTCGCACACCTACATGCATATCTGTATATGACCTTAAGCCCTACCTGATATCCCTTTGATTGCTTGTTGACCACTGTTACACTTCCTGCATTTATTGCTGATACTACCTGATAGTCCTGCTGCCCTGCTGAGCTGAATCTCCTACTATGAAGTTCAATAACCAGCCCACAACGCCAGGAATTGTGGGAAAGCAGAGTACAAAGTTTACCTCAGAGAGGCTAGAGTTAATCATTGGCGGTCTGTGGAGTTATTAGGGTTCATCCTCCACCCACTTCAGCATAAATTTCTGCTTCACATCCATGAAACGCAAAAAAAAACATTAAAATAAAAAAAGTTTGCCTCGCAGATGAGACAGAAATTTACCAGAATGTAAGTTGCTTTACAAACGATAAACATCGATCAACATACAAAACATTCCCCTTATTTGTGCTATATGCACTATAACATATGTTTCTGTTGTGGAAATTAGGGAGGCTGTTGGAGGAAGTGGAGGCCTGAAACAGAGAAACACGCTGGAGACTCAGATGGCTCATGCTGTAATAAGGTTTATTGATCAGGAGAAGTAACACCCACAGCGCAGCAGTTAGTGCAAGCAGTGCCAGCATCAATTCTGAGGATCCTCTCTTACCGTTATAAGTCTAACCTTGACTTAGATTCGAGAGTTCTATCACATCTTCCTCATGCTACAGTAGCTCCTGTCGAAAGGCCACAACAAGGCAGGATAAGGCCTTGGCATGGGGACAGGGCTCAGGCCTGGAGATAATTAAGGATGACGTCCGCTAACAGCTAAAAGGACATATCTTATAAGGGAAAAGGGTAATTTTCCTTTCAAAAATCCCTCCTCTTTGATTATAAGATCGACACGAGCAATAATTTAAAAGGGAAAATTACCTTAACTCAAGGAGAACTCTATCAAGGAATCCAGAGAATTGACTTCAGCAACATCAAGTACACCAATAATTACAGATTCCACAATTTTGTCACAAATTCCTTAAAAATCTAAGTATGAAATCATTTCAAAATCAAATAAATCATTAAATAACAATTCAACAGACCGTCAGCCGCAAAGGGTTATGCAGAAAGGAACAAAAACCCAGTAGGAAAAATGTCCTATCACCCCCTATAGCTGTGGAGACAGATGTTAGACCAAACAACGATCCATATGTTAAACATAACTAGGAAGGAGAGGTGTCAAGCACATCACCTCCACCAAACGTTCGTCCCTGACCCTTTGAGGCATTTAACAATCAACAAAACTTGAAATCATAACATCATAATCATTACTCACAAAATCATAAAAAGAATATCTATTATTTAGTAATTCAGAATCAATTATCAATTAAATCAAGAATACAGCAACAAACCATAATATGAACTGATCAACAATAATAATGAACAACATTCCTCAACACTCCCTTACACGTCCCATCACATCATTAAACAAATCAGTTGCACTCAAAATCAATAATCATCCCTCAGTGATTTCACAGTCATTAGGACACTAACATCCAATTAAATCATCTTTATGAACTTAACTCTTAAAAGTAAAGAACACACACAGGACAATCAAAAGAATGAATCGTCAAAGACTAATCATTGATTTCTATCCTTCAGATCTGACTCAGGAGGGGGACTCCCAATGCAGTCAGGCCAAGTACTGATAGCACCATCAGCAATACTGATGTAAGAAACCTCATCAGCCCAGCTCCCCAGGACCTAAGCAGTCCTGATAAAGTCACCAAAGTCAAATATGGAGTTGCTGGATTCCCTGAGCTGTATCATGGACCAAATCCATTGCATCAGAAGTAGCATCAGAGACATATGACTAACATTCCTTACCTGTTACCGGACAGGTGCCTCCCTACGCCGCAGGCAGCTCCGGCGCCGTGCGGTTTGGCAGCGCAGCACTTTTTACTTCCTGTTCAGCCAGCATGGCACGACTCGATACGTTAAGGTGATTTTCGGGTATCTTACAAAGAGATTTCCTCATGAGAAACTTAAACACCATAAGCAGGAAGGACCATACTGCTGTTTGCTGAGCCTGTGATGAGATTGTCCCTCCTCTGCTGCTCCGACTTCTCTGATCATCGGAAATAACAAACACCAACAAAATGGAATAAGGCATGCAGCTGTAGGCCTTGTCCCCACAGACAACAGGTACCGCAGATTACAGTTACTGCTGATGAACTCGGGGTCCTACACCTGGAAAGCATAGAGACACGATTTTCAGTGTATGCACCTGTACAATCCCTCGCTGGTGTCTGTTCGGTCGAGATGGCAATCGAACAGGTATGAAGATTTTTTTTTTCTCCAGGTCGTTCCAGTTCATGACCCAGTAATCATCCATCTATCCATTAGATAGTAAACACCGCTTAAGGCCTGTTCAGTCTATTACTATAGAAACAGACAACCAGATATACTCACATTCACACCTATGGACAATTTAGAATCACCAACATGTTTTTGGACTGTGTGAGGAAGCCGGAACATCCCGGACGTGCTAACCGGGACGCGAACCGGCGATCGTCTAGCTGCGAGGCGACGGTGCTAACCACAGGCTGACCACCGAGCCACCTGCAGCCTCTGACCCGGTAATCAGCCACTTAACATGGGATAGGGTTGAACACTGGGGAATACATTAATGCTGACACAGCCAACAGTCTCCACTGACACCGTCTTGTTTGTATATAAAGGTTCACTGAAACAAGTCCAGTATCTCAGACACCATGGTTTGCCTGTGAGAGGATTCAAAGTCAAAAAGAATCACCCTCCAAAATAACCTTCACTACTGGCTCATATAGGGGGGCTGTTTACGTAAGCCTAAGACAACACATATGGTTCATATCATGAGGGGAGCCCATTCTCTGGACAAAGAGGCACCTCTCCTGTAGCACCTAAACCTTTGAGGTGGAAACATCACATAATCTATTATCAGTTCCATGGCAGTGTTAAGGTTGTTCTTAGGCTGTGAAAGTGCCAAGCTACAAGTCACAGATCATCCTAAGGGGCAGCCTAGGTCTCCCTCGAGGTGTCTCTCCTCTGTTTGAGAGGGCACATTTCAGCATCAGGCCAGGTAAGACCTGAAAGTTCCCTGCATGTTCAGTGCAGTCAGGATTGTTAGTCAGCTAAGGATCTTCAGAACTGATGCTGGCACTGCCTGCATGATCTGCTGCGCTGTTGGTGTCACATCTCCTGATCAGTAAACCTTATCACAACGTGAGCCATCTGAGTCTGCAGCATGTCTCTCTGTGTCTTCCTCCAACAACCTCTCTAATTTTCACAACACTTTCTTATTACAGTTTTGTGGTTGCTATTGTATAATTGGTGTGTGTTTTGTGTAATAATATCAAGTAGGGTTGGATTTTGCCATTTAGTGAACACAGAGTGCAATTTTATTCATTGTCTTTTGATCACAACTCCAAAAATTTTGTCATCTATATCACATATTACACATTTATTGGCAAATAATCAAGTACAGCAGCAGAAGCATTAAACATTTGACTGTGCCTTCAACATAGTAATTTTACCATAACTATTGTCATTTCTTGTCATAGCTAACAGAGATAAAATAGTGAAATCTGCATATTGACTTAAGAATTAAATCAGTTTCTGGTAATAATATGGATATTTTCCCACATTTGTTTGATGAAAAAAGAAAAAACAACCCATAGATGTTGCCATAGCAACAAACTGGGATGTAAAGCCAGAAAAAACTATTTTCATTATAGAGGAAAGTTTACTTTTTGCAGCTCTTACACTTTGTTCAACTTTGCCCCTTATGTGTTGATGTCACCAAAGTGGAGAAGGTCAAAGGTCAGCAGTTTGCCCATGAGGACTCCAAGCAGGGTGAACATTGATTATCAAAGTGTAATCAGGCAGCGAGGATCAGTCTAAAGTTCGCTGCCGTGAAACAGCAACAGACTGAAAGACGCGGCAGAGATTTGTGGACGAGGGATAGAGGAGGACATCTGAGGACTGTATGCGCTGGTGTCCGAGGCAGTAAAGGCAGCAAAAACTACATCAGCAGATTAAAAGAGGACAAAGCTGAGACATTTGCTAGGAAACATTTAACAGAGCTGACTGGGAGAAGATGGACATCCTTGAGACGGACGCCTATGACAGGCGGCAGAGGAGAAATATGGTACGATTTGCTCATATTGAAAGTTCAGTGTTTTTTTTATCCACAAGGAAAAGCTATAAGAATCTAAAATGTTCATTCCAGCCTACTCTAATGCGAAATCCCTGTCTTTCTCTTTATCCCTCTCTTTCAGTCCTGCGCTCTTTTTTTCTCCCTCTTGCCTTTCTTTCTGTCCACAGTTGTCTACTTCTACCTGTGGACCCCTGACTCCACTCCGTCCATCATGTCTGCGGGTGTCAAATCGGCACCAACGCTCCTGTTGGCTGCGGTGGTGCTGAGCTGGAATGGAGGTCATAGTGTCCTGGGTGTGGTGGGAGGCCTGATCTTCTCCGCTGTTGGTGACTGCTGCTTGATATGGCCTGAGCTGTTTCTGCATGGTAAGACAAATTAGAGAATTTTCCCGATGCAAGTGAAGCCATTTTTGCCCATTATCCCACTATCCCCTGTGAAAAGAGCATCATGGGACTATATTTACAGTATTTCCACAGCATTTACTGTCATAGTAAATGTTATGAACAGTATTTTTTCTTATTTTTTCCTCCACATCTGTTTCAGGAATGGGTGCCTTTGCTGTGGCTCATCTGCTGTACTCGCTCTCCTTCCTGTCCAGCCGCTATGTATCAGACTCCTCCTCTTCTTCCTCATCCTGGATCCGTCTTCTGTATCTGATCCTGGTCATATTGGGAGTATGTTTCTACATCTTTCTATATCCGTACCTGCAGAAGGTGCCAAACTCTGATCTGCTAGTTCCAGGCGTCGGGATCTACATCGGCCTGATTTCTCTCATGGGTGCGTTAGCGATTAGAACCCGCCACGTAGCGACGCTGCTGGGAAGTCTGATCTTCATGGTCTCTGATCTGTTTCTGGCTCTTCAAGTGTTCAAGGTGATTGAGAACATGCAGAACGGTAACGCTGTTGTCATGGTGACGTACTATTTGGCACAGCTTCTAATCGCTGTGGGTGACGTGAAAGCCGTGGAGGACAAGGACAACTTTTCAAAATGGAAGCGGTCCTAAACAGTATCCCTGTGGTAACCCTCATTCCTTTTGTAAAACCTGTTCCTGTGAAGACTTCCTCCAAGTCTTGCATGTTTAAATGAACCCACGAAATAAAGGACAAGACGAAGACACACAGAACGAAGACGGTTCTCCTGGTCAGCTACGGGACGAGTTCATCAAAGCTTCACAACGGGAAAGACAAAAGGGCCCCCCACCAAACAAGATCCCTTATTTTAAGTCTCCTTTTCTATGTTTCAGTAATCACACACAAGTTCATTCTATTTTAAAACAATACAAATACAGCCGTGAAAAAGAAGGAAAAAGGTAACAGTTTGGAATATTTATATTCTGTGATTTAATGATAAAACATTTTGTGACTAATCCGTGTCTGTGTGTAGATTGTGCGTGTGGTGGCATGATGGGAACTGGTCATTATATGTATATAAATAATTCTGTGTCTTGTTACCAGTAAATAAATATGATGTTCATAATTGTGAGTCAAGTTTTGAGAGACTTTAAACTTTACAACAATTAAAAATGAGATATACAAGTACTTGAATTAACATTTAGATGTATACTAACAATTAAAATAGAAAATCCTATACATAATTCCGTCAATGGAGATGTCTGGTATTACGTTTAAGATATCAGGAAGAGACACTGGAGTGAAATGAGAGCTGACTTTAAGTATTTTATACAGATATATAGATATTTACACAGTAAAATCCAGATCCTGGACTACATGCAAAATATGGACAGCAACTGTCGTAACAGACAAAACGTTGCTCAACATCCACGATCATCCACCGCGTGAATGTTCTGCTATATCTTTTCACACTGAAGCCAAAACAGGTGAGGTAAAAAACAAACAAACAAACAAAAACATTTCAGCGATCCATCCCATTGTCATCTGACTGCTGCTGCCCTTGGAAACACAAGAGCCTCAAACGCTCGCAGAAGTCAAGTTCCTCCTGTTGGAAACAAGTGAATTTAAAAAGCAGAAATGAACAAAACCTAAACCTAGACTACAGAAATTTTCAACTAATATATTTGTTGCTAATTTGTTTAAAAAGAAGTAGCTGCTACTAGTTGGCACTTGGAAATGAAAGTAGTTAAAAGTTGATTGACATTTCTTACAATTTACTTTTGTCTACAATAATATTTTGACAATTCGATTTTGCACGCAGTGAGAAAAGAAACATTTCCATATATAAACTCTATACACACACACACACACACACACACAAACACAAACCACTTTATTAGGTAAACCTCTGAAATTAAATGTAATACAATAACAACATTTTTCCTCCCCCAGAATTCTACTTTCAAAGCTTAAACATTTTCAGTTGATGTTGACAAAAAAGGTGATCATTCTAGTTTGTGTTTACTAACAGCTCATAGTGGTGGTGTACTGGACTGAATTACATTATCAGCTTACTCAGAGACATGAATTACCTGACTTTCTTCTTTTCCCTGAAGCTCTTTGGCTCGCTGTCGGAGTAACTCCTCCAAACCCAGCGTAGGATTCCTGCAGTCTTTGAGCCCTTGAGGAAAGTCTTCCACCAGACTTTATAGATACAGAAACAAGGTTAAGACGTGGCTACTGATAAGAACCATAAATGAACGTAATGGTAGGAAACGTCTCTTACCAGCAAAGGGCGCCGAGCACGTGTTCATGGAAAGGTGAATGTGGAGTGCGGAGTGCTGATACCAGCTGCTGCACCATACCCATTGAGACAACTGTGTCTGTAGGAAGAAATACACAGGATTGTGATTAATTAATAAATGAAAGTTTGTACAGAAAGGGATGGTTCCAAACTTCATTACTTCAGAAGAAAATTCTCATGCTACATATTGCTCAGAATAAACAAAAAGACACAAGAAAACAGTAGAAAAAGAGATGTTACAGACAAACATGAGGGGGAATGAAATGCTGAGTAAATGTTTAAATACAACTGTGCAGAAGACTTTATCATAAAAAAAATCCAAATGGCACTATCCAAGAAATGTGTAAATTGATTAAAATAGTCGAAAAATGGCAACTTAAAAAAATACACGAGAGAGAGCACATTTCTGTAGCAAACATTTTAATCAACTGAAGGGACGTTCAATTTTTGACTGGCTGTAACTGCAAAGTGTTGCAGGTAGAGGGAGCAGTAAACCCACAGGTCCTTTAATGCAGCTCAGTTCAGATTTGAGGAACTGCCTTTAGAAATTAGTCATATAAATGACGTTATGTCCTTAACTGGCAAAATTAATAAAGATCCCTGACTGACTACAACTATAAGTTCAAACTTGCAATCAATTTTATTTTCTTTAATCTTTTTTTTTTCATATTTGATACTCCTGAAAGCAGACGACTAATTCAGTTAAAGACGATGTCATATTCAACCTTCTCTCACTGTTGCTTTCCTTTGAAGAGTTGCTAAACTCCAAAGAAACTAGACGACTGTGGGGCTACAAAATGGCTAAGAAAACAACATTACAGAGACAATTTTTTTTTAAAAAGGCACTGTCCTTTCTCATTCATACCTTTCTGTTCGGGGTGTGACATTAACAGATTGAACAGCAGGAAAGCCGACTTGGTCCTGAGCTTCTCGTTCTCCACCTGCATGCCACGCATCAGCACCGAGAAACCGTCATGGGACAGGAACGCCTGCAGGCCTGCTTCCTGCTCTCGGACCAGACCTGCAATCACAACAAAATATAATTCTGGTGCACTGTACACAAATGAGCCAAAACATTGTGATCAACGCTTTGGTTCTCCACATGCTGCCAAAGCATCTCTGAATCCCTGAGGCTTCTAAAGATGTAATCAGTAGAAGTCACGTAAGCTGAAAGTTTGAGCATGTGAGTTGTTCCAGCACATCTTCAAGCAAACTGTCCCTCCTCAGACATCCAACAAGTCGACTATAAGAACCAACTCTTCACTTAAACTCTAATATTCCAAACCTTGATATTTGCCTCATCTCTGAGTGGTCACAATGTTTTGTGGTCTGTGCACGGCACAAACACACGCAGCGTTATGATGCAGTTTCCATATTTTAAAACACATCTTTGAAGCTTCACTCACATGAAACAGCGTAAAGGGCTTTTACTCTGACGGTGGGATGTGGATCTGAGTCTGTCAGCTGCAGCAGCTTTGGCAGCACCCCAATGTTCAGCAAGTGGACCTGCACCTGCGGCATGTTCTGGGCGCAGGAGGCAATGAGCTCGGCAGCACGCCACCTCAGCCCGCTTTGGACATGACACAGATACCGAGAGACGCACAAGTCCAGTCCACCAAGAATCATCAGGTCTGTAAAGCACAGAATGGAGAGACAGTCAGGATAATCAGCACATACTATAACCTCTATCTGAGAGTATCAACTCAACACCGCTCCGTACAAACCTCTAGCGTTGTCTAGGTTCTCACACAACTCTGACAACATCTCAAAGGCTGATTCCCGCTCATCTTCATCATCTTCCTCCCTCTCTTCCTCTCCTTCTCGCTCCCTTCCACTCCCTTCCTCTTTGTGTAGAACAGCCAAGCACTGTTTCATCTGCTCCACTTCGTCCATCTGTCCTTTGCAGACCTCTGCAAGAGCGTCTCTCAGCCACGTTTTCCTCTGGAACAAACACAAAAGGGAGTGAGGCTGTTTGTCATCCAAAAATTTTGATGTAAGGTGTGAAAAAAAAGAACAACAACTAAAAAAACAATGTGGGCATCAGTAGCTGTGGATGAATAGTGAATAAAATTATGTCCGGTCTCTTTTCATTAACAGAAACCATCATGAGGTCAAGGACAGATGTGGAAAATTCATACAGAGTCAGGAAAGGACAATCTCAGTTTTAAGAGAACCCAACTGTAAAAAATGGCTATAGGCTACCAGTCACAAGAACAAAAACAAATCTGCTACTGTACATATTTCCTTCTTTAGTCGTAGCCATGTTACAATAAAAACATCATCTAAATAAAAATGTGTCATATCCCTTTTGTGCAGAGACAGACTTTTATGTTAGGGTAATTTTTAAATTCTGATCTGGTTATAAACCTACAATAGCTATAAAGTTTCCACATACGTTGGTATGATTGTGTTATGAAGCTGTTATGACTAATACAAGCTGTGAATCTGTCATGTGAGGAAAAAAATGGTTGCCACTGATACTTCCGGATCATTTCACTCAGTTGGGAACTTTACTGAGTAATAAAGACTATCTGACCACAAGCAGTGTCCAACCCAAAGCTAATATGGAACCAACTCGTAGGTGACCTAAGTCCAGAAGGTTTTTGAGCGGGATTAAATTTCACCAGAAGAGCTCTGATGTGGCTCAAGTGGCTCAAACAAGAGATATTTCTAGACACAATTAATAAAGACATTATCTTTTGCTGGTACAACTTCTTCAGGTCATTTACAATACTTAAGAAGTGCTTGTATGCAAGGGTGTAGCTATTTTCAAAAAATCCATATTTCAAGTAATGCCAGAAATGTTTTTTTAAAATATGTTTTGTGGTTTCCAACTGAAATATTGCACTTTAGGAATGAAAAGGTGAAATACTGTACATGAAGTGAGACTTTACACATGATACAGATGCTGATTTTGTACAAACTAAAGTAATAAAAGTAATACAATAAAAGTAATACTGCAGATAAAGATATGTACTTATGGAACCCCAAACTTGATAACGTTAAAATCCACTCACTTCCTCTGACATGGGCTCAACAGGGGAAGAACCCTCTGCGGCGGATCCAGCATCCACTGCCAGCTGCAGGACCCCCTGAAGGTTCTGGGGGTATCTCCTGTCCTGCCTGTCTTCTGACATGATGTTACCTGCTGTAGAGAAAAAGAAGTACAAGAATAAGGGCGAGTGGATTTTAGAAATACCATGAAGTAATACTGAATGCTGAGAATATGAATTCGGAACACAGACAGTATAATATCGTGTCACTTTACAGAAAGAACATGCTAAACTACACACACACTGTACAACACAAACACAGTTTAACTCAACTGACAGCACATTCTCATTTAGCTAGCAATAAAACAGAATCTCTCGTTAGTTTGTTCCCAACTTACCTTTGAAGAGTTCTATTAACCTGTGTAAAATAAATAGACACGCTGTTTCTTCTGAGTTCCTCTGAGTCCAATATTAGCCTGCTCCCTTTTAAACACAGAAACATAAAATGCGCTAGAACATTCTAGTTAGCTCATCTCACGAGTGGCAAGGAGGCAGCCATGTTTTACCGTAAAACACAAACCAAATGGGCAATAAAAATGTTTTTCGAGGTATTCAGTGCTCACTTCGAAGTCGTTTCAGTCTTCACATTTTCTGTTTCACATAACTTCTTCAAAAATACAAGACATAACTAAAAACTTAAAAGATATTCTCGACATTTAAAAGTTACATCGACAAATTTAACCATATTAGCATAGTTACGGTAAATATGATACAGCGGTAAGCGCAGCTAACAGAGAGTATCAGTGACATTGAGAGGAGTCGCTCAATCACTAAGTAAAGGCGTCACATCTAAAATATTACAATTCATGTAATACAATATATTATAATAGTGATACAATACTGATAAATACTATCAAATATGCGAAGTTTGCATCTTGTTACTATTTGAATATCTGCTGTTTGGTACCTTATATTATTGAATCATCAGAACTATCTTATTGTGTGTTATGATTATTATTACTAATAGTACTGGAAATTTTAGTAATAGCAGCTGCTTACTCAAGTTTTACATGCAGCAAAAACGTTAGTATTTAAACAATAATATACTATATCAACCTGATATACTATTAAAACGAAAGAAACGCGTTAAATCTGTGTGGAGCGACATCTTTGTAACTGGTCAGGTTAACCTCTAACTTGTCCTTCGTCTTTGGTTTGTCTAACCATCCAAGATGGCGGCACTTGTGGGGCTGCGTGCATGTTTCTCCGGTAAAATGCTTTAATTCTTCTCAACCGTTTCACTCTGCGTGCATTTCTGACAGTTTTTGGATTTGTAGCGCTGTAATTTGATTTGTGAACAATATATTATGTCGTTTTTGCCTGTAGAAATGCTAGAGCACGATAAAAGGGATGATACTGTCTCTAGCGCAAGGTCACGTTATCGGTGAGGGTTAGCTAACGACAGAGCTAGCGGAGGATGACGATTGAGTGAAGATTTGTTACTAAATCCAGCAAACGACAAGCAGATAGGTGCTGAAATCTGCTCTTCAGATAGCTAGCAGCGGCTCATTTGAAGGACAGTGACACTGACGAGTCTTGTGGTTCAAAGGGTTTGTTTGCTTAAAGTCAGTTGCTGCAAAGCGGCTTTTAGTCTGATGTAACCTGCGTGGGTTTGAAATATGATACTAAAATCTGCCTTGGTCTCATTAACATCATTAGAACCTGATGGTGAATGCAGATGCATAAATCTTTACAGACGAAATGAATGAGATTTTGACTGCACAATTAGCAAAGATGTGTGAGGCACTCAAGGCTAATAGGTCAAGTCATCTTATTGTCATCTTAGCTCTACACTCAAGGTGTACAGTGGAATAAAACTGCATTCCTCTCAAAACCAATAAAAGACGCAACAAAATGCACATATCATTATTACAGTCTATAAAATAACCACACATTACTGCATGTTAAAAGGTAAGAGGGCAAAGTGGGTTCGTGCTGTAAAAAACAAGCATCAAATGTGGCCTGAACCTGTTGTTGAATGTTCCCTGTAATGAATAGGAGCTTAAAAATATTAACAAGGTCTAAATTATATGCTATAAGAGGGGGAAGTACGCTGTTCAATGCTTCCTGCTATGAATAGGAGTACTAACGTGGAATAAAATGGGAGGTGGGAAACAAGGTTACTATTATTGGATGTGAGCAGCAGGTAGTTCAGAAGTCAGACAGCCTCGAGACGTAGCTCTTCCATCAGGGGTCTTCACCAATACTGGAGGCGTTGAAAATCCATTGGGGGCATCTGAGTCAACACAGAAGTGACTTTTTAAAAATGTCTGAAAGAGAAAAAGTTAAGTTAAACCTAGAAATATCTTCATAAATTGCTGCCGTATGCATTGAGGCAAGAAGCATTACACTGAGACACATTTTGATTAAATTATACTTTACTGGATTATCCAGTCAAATAATCACCTGTTATCTAAATTCCTGTAATCATGACATTTTGGTTCCCTGTTCTCAGCCCTTCAGCTTTCCTCACCGAGCCTCCTGCACAGCTCGTTGAAATTGGTAAGTTTGCAGACAAACTTCAATCCATAGGTTTTTTGTTTTTTTTAACAGGGATTTTGCATCTGTTTCATTGCTGTGTCTATCTTTGTTGTGTAGTGTGCTGTGCCTGTGAGCCGGCGGACCTTTGCTGCGGAGGCTAAGAAGACATTCAGCAGAGAGAAACCCCACGTGAACGTCGGAACAATTGGCCACGTAGATCACGGCAAGACCACCCTGACTGCAGCCATCACAAAAGGTAAAATTACAGATGTTGATGGTCTTTTTGTCACACTGGAGAAAAAAATTAATTTAAATCCAGTATGTGTGATGACTTCATGTTGTCCAGACAGTGAATTAGTTTCACTGTTCATTTTGGAAAAGTCATAATCTGATGATCTGAGTGTTGTGACTTCCCTCCTCAGTGCTCGCTGATGCTGGCGGTGCTAACTACAAAAAGTATGAAGACATTGACAATGCTCCGGAGGAGAAGGCCAGAGGAATTACCATCAACGCCTCTCACGTAGAATACACCACAGCCAACAGACATTATGCCCACACAGACTGTCCCGGCCACGCTGACTATGTCAAGGTAACAATCTGCTTTTTCACCTCTACGCAGCCTCACCAAGAAAATGCTGCTGCTGCTGCTGCTTATAATGATGATGATGATGATGCAGCATCATTGCTTTCATTTTTCAGAACATGATCACAGGCACAGCTCAGATGGACGGTTGCATCCTGGTGGTGGCGGGCACCGACGGCCAGATGCCTCAGACACGTGAGCATCTCCTGTTGGCCCGGCAGATCGGCGTCGAGCACGTGGTGGTTTTCATCAACAAGGCCGACGCCGTGGAGGACAAGGAGATGCTGGAGCTGGTGGAGATCGAGATCCGCGAGCTGCTCACAGAATTTGGCTATGATGGCGAGAACACACCCGTGGTGATCGGATCTGCCCTCTGCGCCCTGGAGGTGAGGAAAACACTGGCAGTAAATTGTCGAACAGTTCTGATAGTAGTGTTTTTATCCTCTGTTATTCTATCCTTTTACACAAGTAACGGATTGAATTACATTTTCTGTCCTGAATGTAATGACTTTGTTTTTCTTTGCTCCATCTCAGGGCAAGCAGCCTGAACTGGGTATGAATGCAGTGATGAAGCTGCTGGATATTGTGGATTCTTACATTCCTCTGCCCAAAAGAGAGCTGGAAAAACCTTTCCTTCTGCCCATCGAAGGGGTTTATTCAATCCCAGGTAGGAAAATAAACAACAAGGAAAGCACACAGCTTCTGATAAATACAATGCTGAATGTAATTAGGAAGGAATTTTGGTGAATCTCAAATGTTTCTTTATAGTAAGATCTGTTTTAACAGCTCGTTAAAAAAATAAATGTGAGCTTAAAAGTAAAAATATTCACAAAAAAACATTCAAACCGAACAGAATTTAGCAACGAGGTTAAACACTGTCCATAATATAAAGCATGTAGCTGTTTACAAACCATTTTAAACTATTAATCACATTCTTCAATAACCAAATCATATTTTAAATGCTGCAGAAATGTGACACTATACATATGATCTTTGTACATGATCCTACAAAACATGACAAATAACTGAATAAAAGTTAACAAATAACATATGAAATACTCTACTGAATGTGTGTGAATAGTTTAACCTCTCGCACAGAAACCTACTTTTCTATGTGTTACGTTGCCAACATATTATTTCAAATTCTCATAACTGGCTGTAAAATTCCACAGCTAAAGATGGCAGATATGTCACTAGAAAAATCTGTAAACGGAGAGAATGATGATGTGATTTACCCTGAATTGGAATGTTGTCTCTTGTTTTTCCAGGCAGAGGTACAGTGGTGACAGGCACCATGGAGAGGGGCGTCATCAAGAAAGGAGATGACTGTGAGTTTGTGGGTCACAGTCGCTCCTGCAAGTCTGTGGTGACAGGTGAGTCGTAGGAAACGCAGCAGGAAATACAGAAAGGGACAACATTGTGTGGTGGTTAGATACGACAAATCAAAACAAGACAGATAGGTCACAAGTGAAAGGAAGAGCTTAAAAAAGTGACAGCGTAAGCTTTAAAACAGCCGATGCTTCCACAGTTTGAATTAACCTTCATTTAAACCCGGTGCATTGAAGTAGAGACCTCATTTGCGGTATAGGCGAGCAAAGACAAAATAGAAGATGGAGACATACAAATAGATGAAAATCAAGATAAAAATAGCAGCCAAAGTATTTAAAAACACAAATTAGTCAAACAATATAACTAATAGTAAGTAGAACCATTAGTATTTAAGGTGAATCCACGAAAGCAAAACCATCTGTCAGAGATAATAAGCTGATGTGTTGAGTCGTAATTATCTGCATTCATGTAGCATCAAGCAGCCATGCTCAGTTTAAAATGTGTGGAATATGGGCAACAACTGCAGATACGTGAACATACAGGTGGGTTTTAGTTACTTCAGATGGCAGTGAGGTAAAAGCAGGGGCTTGCTTTACACAATTTTCTTTTAAAGGCAGCCTCCATTAATTTTGATTTAAAAATTTAAACAAAAAAAAAAAATAGTGTTCTTTGTTATGTCTGTAGATAATCAGTAATCAAAACAAGATCATGCTAAGCAGAAGTCTGGTGGAAGGAATTTTAGCTTGCTTTTGACCCTGTCAGGTATTGAGATGTTCCACAAGTCTCTGGACCGGGCCGAGGCGGGAGACAACCTGGGCGCTCTGGTCCGAGGCATGAAGAGGGAAGATGTGAGGAGAGGGATGGTGATGTGCAAACCAGGATCCATCTTGCCTCACCAGAAAGTCCAGGCCCAGGTCAGAGTTTCACCTCATGTCATCATATACACCGACAGACTGCCTGGTGATAGACGAGTTTCTCACATATAATTCCAGTGATGGTTGAAGAACAAACCGAGAAGCCAGCAGGATGGCGTATTAAAAACTCTTTGTAGCCTTTAAAGG